GCCCAAAGAGTCATGTCGGAGGACCAAGAGATTGCTAGATAGAACATATTAATCAAATCAGCCAATAATTAATATGCAAAAGTTAAACCGACACATTTGAAGGGCCCATTGTATATTTAAAGTGTCCAAAGGATCAGGATTCATTAGCCCACTTGAACAGTTCTTCTTCCAGTAGAACATTGAGTTATAATTGGAGTCAAATATATTCCAAAAGGAAAGTGGAACCCTGCAAGCTGTATAGACTAAGCAGATTTACATATCATTGCTGAATTTACATAATTTATTCAGCTTCCACTGGTCAAGCAGGCAAATTAAAAACCTACACAAAACCAAATACCTATTTTCCCTGATAGCTAAACGTTCAGTGTTTTCACTGTACCCCAACGTGGCTTGTGTTCAGAGATTTTATTATGCATTACATAAATTCTGTCCCGTCCCCCCCCCCTAGTCTTAAGGACTAGAACCTTAATAAATTCAGATTTTCAGAGTTGCAAATTTGTATTACCCATTTTTGAATTCACAACATCCAGTTACAGAATGTACTGTATGCACTCTGCTTGGATTTCAATGGGATTTGAGTAGATTATGTGACCGTAATGTTATTTTTACATATTTATGGCTGCATTAACACATAAACTTGGTGCTTTGCCTGAAAGTTCTGTTTCTCCCAGCTTTCTCCAAAAATAAGCAATCTCTTGTTTATAACACTGTCCCAAAATGCTGGGATTTCTGCAAGAAATTCTTCGTTTTTCTCGCAGTTCGCCATCATCCTTGTCCAGCATCAAATGCCCCAAAAGTTCCCAGTTTGGATTATTTGGATTGTCTTGAATGTTAAACATTTTTTATATATTACTGGCATGTTTATGAGCATTGCATTGGCGGCTGTATGGCATGTCTCTGTGTTTTGCAGAATAGAGAGGCAAGGCTTGCTCTCTCTCTTTTTAATTTGTGATACTCAAAAGAGCGACACTTAATATAAAACCATAACCTGAGCAGGAGTTTCAGAAAAACAGTCAGCTATCTGAAGGATCTTATTACCAATGCAAGAGGGAATCTGATATCTTTCTCCAGGAGAAGGTTTTGTTGTGCGTACATATCTTTTTAAACAAGCTTTTAAAATGATTTATGATCCCAGCACGATGTTTGGAATACTAAAACTATGTAACAACAACTATGTAACAACTGGAATGTGTAGCTAGGAAAATGTAGATGCCATTTCCTTGCAGTGCTATTCTCCTGCAAGAGGGTGCATCTACACTGTCAAATTAATACAGTTTGACACTGCTTTAACTGCTATGCTTTGATGCTATAGAACAGGCATGGGCAAACTTTGGCCCTCCAGGTGTTTTGGACTTCAACTCCCACAATTCCTAGCAGCCTCGGGCCCTTTAGCAGCTTAACGACTGAGGGAGAAAAGGAAGGGGCCTGAGGCTGTTAGGAATTGTGGGAGTTGAAGTCCAAAACACCTGGAGGACTGAAGTTTGCCCATGCCTGCTATAGAATCATGGGAGCTCTTGTTATAGAAGGTCTTTAGTTTTCTCTGTCAAAGAATGCTGGTGCCTCATCAAGCTACAAATCCCATGATAACTATTAGAACATAGTAATAGAATAGCATTTAACAGCATAACATACTACAGATCTGGACCGCTTGGAAGACAATCAAGCTGCCTTAAACTAGCTCAGTTGTTTATATTTTCTGAGTGATGATGATGTTGGATTTGTGAATAACGTCTTTTAAAAGTTCATAAACTGCAGTGTAGGAGAGATGGAGTGCGATCAAATGACTTTTGTAGAAAGATGAAATATGGTTGAGGTGTAAGTTCCATTCTGCACATGCTGTGCAGATCATGGGGTGACAAAGGGTGCATCAACACTGTAGAATTAATTGTGGCGTAATGTAAAATAAACCACGCGCAGTTCACGTTTGATCTGCCCACACACTGCCTTGCCAGAGAAAGAAAATATGCCACCCAGGTGAACAGTAAAGAACAAGTAGATTACTCTTCTTAATTCAGAACAACATATGTACAATGTGATCAATTGCATCAACTCACATAATGTCCTTTTATGAGAGATTTAAAATGGTTTTTCTTTGTCCATGTGGATAAACTCCTTCAGGAAATCATGAAGCAAGAGTACACTCCAAAATCTGTCTCTCTCAGCTTCTCTCTTCTCCTCTCTCTGCAGCTGCAGAGCTCAAGCCTGAACAAAAATGTAACAGTATCCAAAAGTCCCAGGTTCAGCCATCTCCCTGGATATTACACAGCCAGTCAGCTTCATGCATCTTATTTTACAGTTGACACACACATATTAACTGATGCCTTGCATGCTCCAACACTAATGACATCAATGAAATTAAGTTTGACATCACTTTCACTGCCATGTCTTGGAATCATATGAGTTGTAGTTTAGTGAGGTACCAGCATTCTTTGGCTGAATAGGTTAAAGACTTGGCTAAATTACAACTTCCAGGATTTCATAGCATTGTGCCATGGCACTGAAAATGACACTTTTTCTCCTTGAGTCTACACTTACACCTTAAGTCAGTTTCAAACCAGTATTGAAGAAAGTGGTTTTGCTGTGCGGATGATTACATAGGGAATCCTTGAACCAGTTCGAGACATGAATGGTGAATACACAAACCACAGAGCATTGATGTGCGTTAAGGACTTTCTTTTGTGGGAGTTGTTGTCTAGCCTCCACATTAAATGATCAGCGTCTGTTGGGATCCTGATTGTATCATTTCAGTCTATAATTGCAGATTGTATGTTTGAATTGTTCCCAGGAGAGGGGAGGACTTTCTGAACTTAGAAAATGAGAATTTCAGGGAAGCTATGCAAGAATGTTCTCTTTATATTGAAATTCCATTCCTAAGGATTCTTTGAATCATATGGCTCTCCAATACCCAGCTGGAACTTCATACTCCTTGCATTCACACAGTGTTCACACCTTGCTCCCTCTTCCCTTCAGCTGTTGTAAATTAAGCTGCTTGAGCTCCACTTCCAACCTCATATTATAATATACATAGACCCTCCAGCAAAGTGTGAATAACAGCTTGCAGAGGCACAAAACCTGAGTGTATCCTGACCTGAAGATGTCTGCAGTTTTCACCTAGGGAGGCATGAGACAGACAGGAAGCCATGACATCGGATGAGCCGGAGGAGATTAAAGGAAGGGCAAAGATGTTACACAGAAGTCATGAGAACCATTGTGCATTTGCCACGTAATTACTAGTGTGATCACAATAATGGGCTTTACCTGTGAGTCTGCTATTATCAGTTGCATCAGTCACCATCCTCCCCAGAATGGGAGCATTTCCTTGATTTGCAAAGTGTTGACAGATAAAGGAAGTGATAATTGTTCTACCAATTTGTAACTAGCATTTAAAAAATCTAACCAATTGCTTTAATGCAAAGGTAGAGATTGAGCAATTCTCCAGATGCTGTTGGACTACAGCTTCCAGCATTCCTGACCCTGGGCTATGCTGGTTTGGACTGCTAGAGTTGCAGTTGAACAACATCTGGAGGATTATATCATTCTAAGAATGGCTTCAAGTGTAGGAATGTACATAAAATGCCTTCTGCACTAATTATGAAGGGCCCATACACCATTCGATTCTGTGAGCAGGAAATCCAACTTTTCTTCAAATATGGGTGGGGGGATCAGTCCAATTTCCCTTGAGATGGTAACAATTACTTGCAGCCCACCTCCCATATTTTCAGGTTTTACTTTTGTGGATTTGATTATTCACATATATGATTGAAATGATCTCTCTAGAAATCTCTAGGTGCTTGAGAACCTAGAGCAGTGGTTCTCAACCTGTAGGTCGCCAGATGTTTTGGCCTTCAACACCCAGAAATCCTAACAGCTGGTTAATTGGCTGGGATTTCTGGGAATTGTAGGCCAAAACGCCTGGGGACCCACAGGTTGAGAACCACTGACCTAGAGGTTCCTAGGGGGAATACCTCTTTAAGCTTGTCTAAGGCAATTCTATGGTCAGTTTCCACCTAGAAGACCCAGAACCCTTCCATACTACCCCTGCATGCCAGGATCTGACCCCATATTGTCTGTTTATTTCGGGTTATCTGGCAATGGGGACACATATAATCCAATTTAAATCAGATATTCTGAGATCGGATCCTGGGATAAACGGCAGCATGGAAGGAGATCTAGACATTCCTCATTTTCATGGGAATCTTGTACTCCTAGCCTCAGCAAATGTGGAGGAATGAATATATGTTCCTAGAAGAACCTCTTTGCATAAGAGATGAATGGAGATGGGAGAATAAATGGTGTTGTTCTAGAAAAATATTTGGTCTACCTGGAACATCTGCATCAAGATTGGGTAGATAGCAAAAAGGAAGGATGGAAAATAAATGAAATCTTATTGATCACCTGTTCCATAGTAGACCATGCCCTAACATTGACCTGATTATAGCGATCTTACCTGAATAGATGATGGGACCTGGGCCCTACCTGAAGATCTCAAAGTGTAGGAGGGACTTATTGGATGATAGGTTTTCAGAGCTTCACCTTTAGAGTTCAAGGGCAGAATCTGTAGGCTGTATGTAGGCTTTCAGAACAATGTCACTTAACCTTTGGTCTAATCTCATTTGGATTGGCACAGATGGATGAGAGTTGGCACTGAGAGGGATGGGGAGCATATGTAAACACTGCTTACCTGATTTTGTTGGATTGGGTTTCACCTACCATCAGTTGTGGCCCTTGGTTGATTTTTTGGATGGATCAATGGGAAAACAGAAAGTCCTTTCATAGGGAAAACAAAGTCCTCTCCATCCTGTTTAGGAGCTTTATAACACAAGCAGCTTAAACTCGGAAACTAGCCACAAAGTCAATATTCAGCCCTTAAAATGTTATGCCATGTGTAAATTCAGCTGTTGATGTTTGTGTTCAAATCTCCTCTGAATGCAAAGTGTGGGGCGAGAGATTATCCAGATTTCAGACTAAACTAAAACCTTTCTTCCTTGTGTTATCTTCAGTTACTGCAGAAAAGAAGACTACAATAAGGAGAACCTTTTCAACAGCCTCAACTGTGACATTGCTGCAAAGAAGAGAAAGAAGGACCAGCTGAACAACAAAACAAAGATTCAGTGTAAGACTTTGACCAAGCGATACAGTATTTAAAAAGCAGAACAATAAACAATTATGTTTGGTGGAGGGAGCTCACCCTTCTCACACAATGAAATGACCTCTGCAGTCATTCCAAAAGTCCCTGGAGAGACTTTGCAGCCCCCTTCTGACCTTAGCTGGAAAACTTGGATCCATTGCAAGTGGAAGACTTTTGCATAGGACAATGATGTTTGCTCAATATCTTAGTGCTTCTAAGTATTCACATTTTTGTCACTTGTCTTTGCCAGAGGAAGAGCAATCTTTCCAGTTCCATTTTTTAACATTCAAACAAAAATTTATTTATCCCCTGCTCCCACTCTCTATGCCTGCAGCTTTAGAAATTAAGTTGGTTTTTAATCCCTTCTGTCTGGTTTTTAAATATATGTTCAGGATTGTTCCTATCCAAAAATAAGTACTAAAATAAATCCTTTCAAGGGAATGGTCTATGGCCTTCATATATCCCCCAAAGGAAGTTATTTATTTTATTTGTTGTGTCAGGGCAACCAGTCAAATGTATTACATTTCTAACAGAACAAAACAAACAAACAGACAAAATACAAAATTTGCGAGTTTGGTAGTTGATTAAATGTCATTTGGCCAGTATCTGGCCACTTGGAGTGCCTCTGGTGTTGCTGCAAGGAGGTCCTCCATTGTGCATGTGGCAGGGCTCAGGGTACATTGCAGCAGGTGGTCAGTGGTTTGCTCTTCTCCACACTTGCATGTTGTGGATTCCACTTTGTGGCCCCATTTCTTGAGGTTGGCTCTGCATCTTGTGGTGCCAGAGCGTAGTCTGTTCAGCGCCTTCCAAGTCGCCCAGTCTTCTGTGTGCCCAGGGGGGAGTCCCTCATTTGGTATCAGCCATCGGTTGAGGTTCTGGGTTTGAGCCTGCTACTTTTGGACCCAAAGATAGTGGAGTAATTGGAGAGGCAGACTAAAACAATTTGAAAGCAGAATGGTAGATTGATAGTTAAGTTGGTGGGCTAGTTAGTTCGTAACTTAGACTGTTATCCATACAGCCATGTTGTCCATGGCTGCATAGACAACAAGTTAAACACGAGCCAACAATATGATGCTGCAGCCTAAAAAGCCAATGAGATTTTGGCTTGCATAAGTAGGAGTATAGTGTCTAGATCCAGGGAAGTCATGCTACCCCTCTATTCTGTCTTGGTTAGACCACACCTGGAATATTGTGTCCAATTCTGGGCACCACAATTGAAGAGAAATATTGACAAGCTGGAATGTGTCCAGAGGAGGGTGACTAAAATGATCAAGGGTCTGGAGAACAAGCCCTATGAGGAGTGGCTGAAAGAGCTGGGCATGTTTAGCCTGAAGAAGAGAAGGCTGAGAGGAGACATAATAGCCATATATAAATATGTGAGAGGAAGTCAAAGGGAGGAGGGCGCAAGCTTGCTTTCTGCTGCCCCAGAAACTAGGACACGGAGCAGTGGCTTCAAACTACAGGAAAGGAGATTCCACCTGAACATGAGGAGGAACTTCTGACTGTGAGAGCTGTTCAGCGGTGGAACTGTCTACTCCAAAGTATGGTGGAGGCTCCTTCTATGGAGGCTTTTAAACAGAGGTTGGATGGCCATCTGTTGGGGGTGCTTTGAATAAGATTGTCCTGTTTCTTAGCAGGGGGATGGACTGGATGGCCCACAATGTCTTTTCCAACTCTATGGTTCTATGATCTACACTATTGAATTGATGCACTTTAACTGTGATTGCTCAATACTATGGAATCTTGCGAGTTGTAGTCTAGTGAGGCACCAGCACCTTTTGGCAGAGAAAGCTAAAGAACTTGCAAAACTACAGTTTCCATCATTCCCTACAACTGAACCTTGGCAGTTAAACTGATGTCAAACTGCATTAATTCTACAGTTTAACTCCTCCTGACAACAGTAAGACTTTAGTTATGATGAATCCTTCATACAGATTTCAACAGAATGTAGATGCAGCTAACGTACCATGGTCTGTGTTTACATTGTGCCAAATCGGGGGTGTATTTTCATGAATAATAATAGACATGACAAGCATAAATAAATAAGAGTTCATCTGAACATATACAAAGTAGGTTTCATAATCATTGAATAGTCCCATACCACTCCCATAAGAGGCAGTGCTTAGAAGGAAGATGGCCAGGTTCAAGAAAGCATGAATCTTTCTCCATCATCCCATTTTGAACAAGTATGCACAGTAATTAACATAATTGAGTTGAAATGGATACAAAATGGTGTGCATTAATGCTAAACTTGCATATTTTCCACTTCTATTATCTCTGGTGTGATTATAGGGTGGAGATTGGAAGGTTTTGTGTCTGGGTTGATCTAACATCAGTTTGGCATTACAGTCACATCCTACATCTTAACTAAAGTGTAAACTCAACTTGATTAATCATAGTTTGTTTCTCTAAACCTTAGTTAAGGGCCCTTCCACACAGCCATATAATCCAGAATATCTAGGCAGATAACCCACAAAATCTGTTTTGAACCAGATTATCTGAGTCCACACTGCCATATAATCCAGTTCAATGTGGATTTTATACAACTGTGTGGAAGGGGCCTAAAATTAACCACAGTTAATTGGGTTTGGATATAATGCTGACCTAACAGTTAGTTAGAAATGGATGTAAAAGTTTCCAATTTCCTTGGCAGCTTGTAAAAGGATAAACGTATGAGCACGAGGTTCAATAGTGTTGTGGAAGCTATGCTTCAGATCTGACATTGAACCCCAATTTGTAAAATGAATACTCCCTCCCCCAGTCCACCAGTTTCTCACCACTGTTAATTTTTCTGTTTACCTTGCGACTTATCAGTTAGTAAGATATGGAAATAGTAACACAAATCCTATTCTCCATTGAAGCATAAATAGTTTCTGATACCATGGTTGCTCTTCTAAATGTGAAGAATTTGGAAGCAAACATAATCCGTTCTGCTGCTGTTTCATGAGACGTGGAGCAACACAGAGAAAATAAACAAAATGAGACAAATTAGGGTGAGCTTAACATTTATATAACTTTAAATGAACAAAATTTGTTTTCTGTTTGAACAGACTTTCATCAAGAAAAATGGATTTATGTGCACAAGGGTAGCACAAAAGAAGTGAGTATCCATTGTTATTTTAAATAGTGTAATTTTGCCTGAAATAGCCTCTGTTTATACATAGCCTGAAATATCTTATAACTGAGCAAAGTCATTCTAACACAATGAGTAATGCTTACACACACACACACATATATATAGGTGCTGGCTTTGATTAGTAAATCTCAGTTATCTTGAATTCTTCATGCTTGTTTACTGCTAGTCATAGCTGATATAATTATAAGATGTTGCTGTTGGAGGATCATACCATTTTGGAAATGCTGGCAAGAAACAACATACTGTACTTTCCTATTTCATAATCTTCTTGCTTACCTAGCAAGGAAGATGGAACTCAAGCCTATTTTCCTTGATTTTTAAAGCATCTATACCAGTGGTTCCCAACCTGTGGTCTGTGGACTACCAGTGGTCCGCAAGAACGAAAATATGGTCCACAGCCTCACTGTTACTACACAGTTGCTTCAAAACCATGTGGAAATGAGAGCAACTGGTCTCACAAAATCCTGTTATAGTGCCGAGGCAATGAGGATGTCTGTAGTGGAGAGGCTGACTACCCACAAAAGATTACTATTACCACATCAGCTCTAAATTGTTCAATATGCTTTTTGTGGGCAAGCAGATGGTGACTACTGGATGGCATATGTTCTGTATCAGAAACTAGAGCTGATGTAGTCTGTCCAATGCAATTTTCGGAATCAGCACCTCAAATAACCAAACTGAATCTGAAGTTGACCAAAATCCGTAAGCTTTCTGGTGCTAATGTTGGAGAGTGGTCCCTGGTCAAGTGGTCCCTGGACAAAAAAAAAAGGTTGGGAACCACTGATCTGTACAAAGCCAGTGTAGTGACCTTGGATGCATCACACATTCTTCAATCCAGAAAACCTGCTGATAGGGTTGCCTTAAGTTCTCTATAAGTTGGAAAGAGGGACACAATAACAAGAAATATGAAGGCAGTTTTAATGGGCATTGAAACTTGTTTGCTATGCTATTCTTGAGGTAAGAGGTACGGTGCCGTACCATATCATGTTGATGAATGAAATTAATACCAAAATGCTTCCCAAGTTGTATTCCAAACATATTTGCTATTGTGAAAATTCATGAAAGCTACTATTGTGGATAATCGGAAGGTCAGAGAAAGGGAGAATGGCAGAGAAAGTGGTAGAATCCACTATTTCTGTTTAAGAAAATAAACTCGTAGTGCTCTAAACAGGGATCTTATTCCTTTTAAATGCATTAGAGTCAACGTTCTCCTGTAGCACTAGCTTTAGTCCGTCTGCTCTCTTGACTTTCTTCAAAATCCTACATGCATATGAACCACATATTTTGTCTCTTTCTCTTGCTTTAGCGCCATGGCTACTGCACTTTGGGAGAAGCTTTTAATAGACTGGATTTCTCAAATGCCATTCTGGACTCCAGGCGGTTCAATTATGTCGTACGGGTGAGTATAAGAGGTAACTTAGCCCACTTGAGCATTGTAGATGGGGCTCTCAAAAAACCCACAGAGGAGAGGAACATGAATGTACAAAAGTGTTTTCAGGATGCTCTGCAGTGGTTCCCAACCTGTGGTCCACAATAACGAAAATATGGTCTGTGGCCTCATTGTTACTACACTGTGTCATCAAAAGGGAGTGGTCTTGCGAACCCTTCTTATAGATCCAAGGCTTATTAAATATTATTTTCTGTGGATGAGCAGATGATGACTACTGTATGGCATGCATTCTGTATCAGAAACTAGAGCTGATGTGGTCTATTCGGAGCAATTTTCTGATTCAGCACCCCAAATAACCAAATTGAATCTAAAGTTGATCAAAAACTGATTCATAACCTTTTTGGTACTAATGTTGGAGAGTGGTCCCTGTTTAAAGTGGTCCCTAGTCAAAAAAAGGTTGGGAACCACTGCTCTAGAGTTAGTCTACAACATTTGGTCTTACAAGACCTAGCCTTGGGCGGCAGTTTTGTCAAAAATCCCAAAACATACAATAAAATGTCAAACCAGATCTAACTTATGGTCCAATTGTGGTTTTGGATTTTTTTTTATTTGGGGACTTAGAGGCATTTGAAAGACACTCTAACACAAAATATCTCCTGCTAGAAACTGCTGCAAGCAGAAACAACATATTTAGGTATAAGAAAAAACATAGAGCAGGGAGGCATTGAAGGGTCTTTAGCTCAGAAAAGGACTCCAGGAGGTGGGCTGTTTATGGCCAGTGGGTGGACTTTTCAGACCCCTGTGTTCATCCTAAACCATGATAAAAGAGCAAGAAAGTATGCAAGTCTATTGTCAGATGTTCAAAGGAGCATGCAACCCAAAATTCAGTTTAAAAGCACAATGTTTACACTATGGTTTAGTAACAACTAATCCAGGCCACAGAAAAAAGCTTTGGGGTGAGAAAATGTCACTTTAATACATGCACACATGAGCATGCACATACTTGCAAAATAAGCACTCTGTGAGCTGTGCTACGGAGACTGAAGTACAATTCCAGATTGATTCACTTCAGATAGCAACTAATAAGAGAGGATAATAGTTTTTTTTTAATCCCATTCAAACAGTATTTAGCCCAACAAAAGTCCCTGCAACATTGATTTACTTACCTATAGCAGGAGCATTATCAATGCAATCTCTTTGTTCCTCCAGAATTTTGTCCATGACCCTATAGACCGCTCTTACCACCTCAAAATCCCTTCAAACCACTCCCAAAACCATTTCAAAACATTGCCATGAAATAATAGTAGCCACCTAAAAAGCAAAATTGATTTTAAAAAATTATGACAGAGGAATCGAAGCAAATACAAAAGCAAGATTAGCCTCCGCAATGTACGGAATCCTTCTTTGAGCCATTTTCAGCTTTTTCTTTTTGTCTGCTCTAATATTAGAACATGTGGAGGCTGAAACATTTAAGCACTAATGACTGTTTTCCCCTAACCAGGTCTCTATTTCCTGCAGCCTCAGGAATTGTGTGTTATGTCAGCTATAAACTCAGAGCTCTCTAATTCAAACTGGCTGGCGGTTTGGCCAAGGGAGAATACGTTCTTTCCATCCACTATACCTCAAATAAGAACATGATGTTGTAAATGCATTGATCCTATCGGCCAGGTCCCTGGAGCATAATAGCTCACAGTTAAAATACCCATAAATAGTTAAGCAGCCCACATTTGCTTCTGAAATATTTCAAAGAGACGTAAAATTATCATCTTGAAGCCTGCCTCTCCAAAGGCAGTAGAAAAACCAGGAACGAGCCAGCAAAGATTAATGTGTTTCAAATGTTGCCATATCCATAGACTGAACTAGGCTGATTTCTGCACTTATGTTGAATGAGCGCACCTATATTGTAGAAATAATGCAATTTGGCACCACCTTGATTGCTATGACTCAATGCTATGGAATCATGAAAGCTGCAATTTTACAAGGTCTTTGTAGACGGCTGATTCTCTCACACCAGAAGCAACTTGCAGCATGCAACCAATCAAACAAAGTCTATAGCCTTCTCTGCTAAAGAGTGCTGGTGCCTCACCAACTACAAGAGCCCCCGGTGGCGCAGTGGGTTAAACCCCTGTGCTGGCAGGACTGGAGACCGACAGGTCGGAGGTTCAGATCAGGGGAGAGGCGGATAAGCTCCAGCTCCAGCTCCTCATGTGGGGACATGAGAGAAGCCTCCCACAAGGATGATAAAAACATCAAAAAATCATCCGGGTGTCCCCTGGGCAACGTCCTTGCAGACGGCCAATTCTCTCGTACCAGAAGCGACTTGCAGTTTCTCAAGTCACTCCTGACACGATAAAAAAAACCCCAAAGTACACATTCCAGGATTTCATAGGACGTATAGGTGTCAAACTGCATTAAATCTACAGTAAAGATGCACTCTACAATCCCTATGGCAGCAAACAGGAGCTTTGATTTCTGTGAACCAAGCCATGCATTTTCCTGCAGCATTAACATATTTTTCCATGTTTATAAATAACATGATGTACACATGTATGTCTTTATAAAGGGTCCATGCCCTCAAAATACAGGATTTTTGACATCAGGTTTAGTCTTCGGATGAGGAAGAACTTTGCAACCCTTAAACAATAGACACTTGGCAATCTGAACTTTCTCTCTGCATCTACACTGCAGAATGAATGCAGTTTGACACTTCTTTAACTGCCAAGGCTTAGGACTATAGATTCTGGGAGTTGTAGTTTGACAAGAAACCAGCACTCTTTAGCAGAAAAAGCTAAAAACTACAACTCACAGGATTCCATAGCCTTGAACCATGGTACTTGGGAGATGTAACCCTAAATTCATTAGGATTACAGAAGGGATGATTCAAAACAGATATATATACAAAAGTAAACGGAGCTTTTACTCCCTGACTCCTTAGTTGTCCAGTTTCGAGACTGCTTTGCTCATAGTCTAGGTGTTCTGTATAGGCAGATGACAGTGACACATGCCTTGCTCCAAAGGAATTTGCCATGTGATACACCCTGAGCGGTGTTTTGCAACAGATCCCTTTGCTGTCAATTGTGGTCGCATGAGACAGAATGAATGTATTCATTTCCCAGGGGAAATCCAAAGACACCGATTCCAGAGGAATTGTGTTACAGCACAAGGGGGCAATAGAGCAGGGCAAGTTGTAAACAGTAACATTAGTAGTAAAGTTTCAAACAGCAGTAGATGGATAACTTTAAAAAAAACCCACTGAAGTCATTTTTAAAGGTTTATGCACAATGTTTCAAAAGCTTTTGCAAACTATGGCTGCATCTACATCAGTGGTTCCCAACCTATGGTCCGTGGACCACCAGTGGTCCACAAGAATGAAAATATGGTCTGTGGCTTCACTGTTAATACACTGTTGCAACAAGAGCAACTGGTCTTGCAAAACCCTCCTAAAGTGCCAAGACTTATTAAATATGCTTTTCTGTAGGTTAACCATATTTCCCAACCTGTGGTCCATGAACCACCAGTGGTCCATAAAAACAAAAATATGGTCCGTTGTGCCACCATTACTACACTGTTGCCTCAAAACCATATGGCAACGAGAGCAACTGGTCTCACAAAATCCTCTTATAGTGCTGAGGCAACGGGGATGTCAGGAGGGGAGAGGCTGACTACCCAAGAATGATTGCTAATACTGCATCAGCTCTAGATTATTAGATATGGTTTTCTGTTGGTGAGCAAATTGCGACTACTGAATGGTATATGTTCTGTATCAGAAACTAGAGCTGATGTGGTCTATACAATGCAGTTTTCTGAATCAGCACCTAAATAATCAAACTGAATCTAAAGTTGACCAAAAATTGATTTGTAACCCTTTTGGTACTAATGTTGGAAAGTGGTCCCTGTCAAAGTGGTTCCTGGTCAAGTAGTTCCTGGTCAAAACAAGGTTGGGAACCACTGGTCTACACTGCAATTTGACACCTAATGCTATGTAGTCACGGGGACTGTATGTTTACAAGGTCTAACATTCCCTGCCAGAATGCTGATGCCTCACTACTTTAACTGCCATGGCTAAATACAGTGGAAACATGGGAGTTGTAGTTTGGCAAGGCACCAATTCCGTTTAGCAGAGAAGGCTAAAGCACTTATTTAACTACAACTCTCATAATTCCGTGGTATTGAGCCATGGCAATTAAAGTGCTGTCCAACTGCATTAATACTACAGTGTAGATGCACCCCTAGAAGCTTGTTCTAAAAATATGCATTTTCAGTTGCAGAGCACGGCACATGTTTTAGTCTTTTCAGCTAGTACCGCTTTGGATATGAATGTGCACAATGCAGGTTTGCACAGTTGAAATCATTCCTGCACCATCATGTTCCTGCATGTGTTTCCTTTTCTAGTTCATTCTGGGCCTATTTTGCAAAATGCACACCTGTGTTGTGCCTGCATTTTGCTTTATGCTTCAGCTCCCTGAAGTGGTGAGTCATAGAAATAAAGCTGATTAACCGGTGTTAGGCAGCTTAGCCAATTAGCCATGGCTCTTTTTCCATCCTCCTCACTTTATGCCTATCATGTGGCCAGGCAAGGTATTAATAGCATTGCCCGCCCAGAAGAACCATCTGTTGGCATTCAAGGTTGGCCGGAAAGATAAACAGAAGAGTGGATCAGTCACCCGCGGCCACTTTGCTGCCGGGAGCTGATAGTCACACGGCGGTGACAGCGCTGAGTAAAATGGACAAGTGCCTGGAGAAGGGGGAAAATATCCTCTATTTCATCCTTTCCTCCCTTTGCCATGTGCTCTTGGTTTATGGAAAGGTGACAATAATAGTAAATAGACCCTTGTCATAGATTCCACTTGGGGCAAACAATTGAGCCCATGAATTCTGTTAAGATGTCTCCTTTTGTCATCTTAACATAAGTTGGAAACCAGAAGTGGGAGGGTTATTGTTCCCCACAAATAAGAATTATGCCCCACATTGAAATTTTCCACTCTTGAGTTTCAACATTACGAAGAGTTTATATCAGAGGATATCTGTGCTGTAGAATTAATGTAGTTTGACACCACTTTTAACTGCTATGGCTCAATGCTGTGGTGTCATGGGAATTGTCATTTGGAGAGGCCCTGTCAAACTACAACTCTCATGACCCCATAGCATTGAGCCTTAACAGTTCAAGTGGTGTCAAACTGCATTAATTCTACAATGTGGACCTACCCTAGGACTCATATTTGCATGTTTGTGTTCCCTTTGTCACATCACCTGCTGCTTTTCTTTGGGCACCTAAACTGCTTTTCTAAACGCTCCTTTTATTGCTTCAAATTTGGGGAATGAAGGAAAGTTTCATGGGGGAGAATCATATTTGGAAAGGATGGTGCTTTTATTTTCTTTCATCCCCTGGGACAATTTCTTTGTCCAGGGTCTCCATTCCAGGGCTTTACAGTTAGAACTTGAAAAAGTAAATACACTCTCTCATCTATTTTGCATTGTTGCTGCCTCAGGCCCTACCTGCACTGTCACATAATCCAGTTCAAAGCAGGTAATCTGGGTACAGAAACTGGATTATATGGCAATGTAGATGAGGCCTAAGACTCATCTACCAGTGATAAATTGGCTAAACAGCTGTGAACATAAGCTAACAAACGAACAAAACAGCGTCTCCTATTAACTATTTTCCTGCTCATCCAAACCAACAATCTGTAGCTAAAAATTTTCAGAACAAGCCAGAATATAAAGCCATGGTTTAAAGTTGCCTTGAGATACTTGCTTAGTGTTGCGGCTGGAAAGGAAACTTGAATTATTTGATTTCTTTGGTATTATCACAAAGAGCGAAGAAGGCTGATAAGGGTTGCTGTGAGTTTTCAGAACTGTATGGCCATGTTCCAGAAGCATTCTCTCTTGACATTTCACCCACATCCATGGCAGGCATCCTCAGAGGTTGTGAGGTCTCTAAGATGCTCACAACCTCTGAGGATGCCTGCCATAGATGTGTGCGAAACATCAGGAGAAAGTGCTTCTGGGACATATCCATACAGCCCGGAAAACTCACAGCAACCCAGTGATTCAGGCCATGAAAGCCTTTGAAAACACAAGGTTAACAAGGCTTGTCTGCATCTCGGTTTATTAAAGTGACATATTGAAAGTGATTTCCATGTAGTGTGCAGAAGTATAGACTTCGCTGGCTCTACAGTATAGAATTAATGCAGTTTAACATTTTGACTGCCATGGCTCAGCCGCAGAAAACCCTCTGATAGGTTTGCCATAAACTGGAAATGACTTGAAGACACATAACAACACAAAGAGAAATGAAACCATAAGGCACAATGGACATAAAAGTTGGTGTATGTTTGTTGAAAAGCAATAAATTACATTATGTCCTTGTCAGTAACAAGACAAGGAATTGAATCTGGGCTAGTGTGATCTGAAGTGAAAATAGTGAAAAATGGGCCCTTGGATTTTGCAAAGTTGATTTAAAATTTAAGACCATGAAAACACATGTGCTACAGTAGGAGACTTCTCAATTGTGCCTATTTCAAAGGATGTTTGGCTCTCTCTAACCGTGTGGTCAGTATTTTGCAAAGCTACTTAGATGGCCCCCATTTATTTTCCTCTGTTGTCACTTTTAATGACACAGCTTAGTAATCAAACCAACAAGAAGAGGCATCCAGATTGCAATCGCTTAAGCTCTAGCATCTGTCTTTTCCCACTTCTCCTCCACTCCACTCCCTGTTCGAAAAAGCCAGGCAGGCAACAAACAAGTTTCTGGACTCTTTTGCTGTGCGTCATATGACCAGAAAGCCAAGATTAGAAAGGTGTCTTTGTGCCGGGAAAGGCTAAAATCTTATTTTTATCCACAGCTGTTGGAGCTGATAGCAAAGTCCCAGCTAACATCCCTGAGTGGAATCGCCCAGAAAAACTATATGAATATATTGGAAAAAGTAGTACAAAAAGGTAAAAGCAAAGGTCCAAACCTGTGGTTTGTAAGCATGCATGCACTCTATGTCTTATTAGTTTTAGGACTGCAGCCCATATTTATGCTTCATTAGGGTAAATTCTATAGAGCTCAATATTACAAGGTCTGTGCAAACAAGCAAGTAGCATTCGGTAACAGATGTAAAAGAACGTGGATAATAGTTTAATGTGTTGTTGTATCTGCATCATGGATAATATTATGAATTATTATCATTCCTGAATTCAGGAGAATGCTTTATGTCTTGGTTGGCTATCCTGAGTGATATGGAATGATTGAAAAACTATGACGTAGTTTTAACTGAGAGTGCTACATTTGGGTCTGGGCTGTACTATGTAGAAATCTGACTGAAAGCTCCATACAAAGGAATTTCCTGTATATAGAAAGCTAGCCACCAAGTTTAGCTTATAGAATCATAGAGTTGGAAGAGACCTCATGGGTCATCCAGTCCAACCCAATTCCAAGAAGCAGGAAAATCGCAAGCTTAGTTTAGAACCTGTCCCATGATGTGCTGTTTTAATACCTATAGCGAACATTTTGTTTTAAAATGGTACAGTCTTGAGTCTTATAGCCCTGACATTGTGTAGACAACTGAGTAAGGATAAGGTCTAGATAATCTCCTTGCTCTAAGAAAAAAATAATGGTAATCGTAATTTAGATGCTTTTAAAACCAATGAGACAAGTTAATCCCAGTTAAACTGGATCTTACTTATATGATGGGACTTAAAAGCCACTAATGTTGTTCTCCATTAGAGTGCATATGTCTCTCACAACATCTCAGTTGGGTGTTGGTCCATCCTTTCAGTCTTGAAGTCTATTGGGAAATACATTCCTCGAGTTATAAGGAGCAGGATGCTTATAATAGGATATGGATTTCTTTAAGTGTTTGATTTGGCTTTATGTGTTGTTTCGATTGTGTCTAATACTCACTTTTTTTCTTGCCTTTTTCCAACACAAAGTTCTGGAGGATCAACAGAACATCAGGCTAATAAGAGAGCTGCTGCAGACTCTTTATATGTCACTTTGCACCTTGGTCCAAAGTGTTGGCAAGTCTGTTCTGGTGGGGAATATCAACATGTGGGTCCACAGAATGGAGACAATTCTGCACTGGCAGCAGCAGTTGAACAATATCCAAATCACCCGGGTAAGTGCAAATCCTGGTTTTTGACACTAAAGCTAAAAACCCAGCTGTTCCATATGCACTAAAACCTTATATCACATTTCCAACTCGCTACGGTGGATCCTTCATTGACATTCTCTGACAGAGCATCAAGAAAACACACTGAGAGAGACACAACTTGGATGGTTCAAATTAGAATTCCAAGGAATTGGATCCATGAACCCAGCCTGAGAAGGTCTATCTAAGGACCAAAAACTGGAGGAGCAAATTATTTTGCATACAATCTGGAATAATTTTGTTACCTGAAATGAACAATGCTTTGGACTTTTGACTGATGTATACCTTGGAGGATCTAGGAAAATGCCTAGAAAAGTATCCTGTATGGGTATTTTATAGGTTCCACAGCGCAACTCTATGGTGACTTCTAGATGAGGTTAACTGAGCCAACTCTCTACATATAATTGAATCCATGTAATATGAAGTTGCATTATATACATTACAGGCCCTATCTTTGAAATTGCAATGGCAACTCTAGAGTCTACACATGACACCTCAGCAAAAGTAGACTAGGTACATAGATCTCTTAGGGAGCAGGACTTTTGGGTTGTTGTAGGTTTTTTCAGGCTATATGGCCATGTTCTAGAGGCATTATCTCCTGACGTTTCGCCTGCATCTATGGCAAGCATCCTCGGAGGTTGTGAGGTCTGTTGGAACTAGGAAAATTGGGTTTATATATCTGTGGAATGACCAGGGTAGGACAAAGAACTCTTGTTTGTTGGAGCTAGGTGTGAATGTTTCAACTGACCACCTTGATTAGCATTTGATGGCCTGGCAGTTTTTTGGTGTGGCTTGTTAGTTCCTGAAGGAATCTTTTGCTGAGAGGCACTAACAAGACTATTCACATTATTAGGACTACATGAAAACGAATAAATGGGTAATTACAGTTATGGTCATGTCTGCAGATGACATCTGTTGGTTGTATAAGCCATCTGGTTCAATTCACTATGAGAAATCCAGAAATGCAGTGTCCTCTCCAAGCAGTTTTTCTCATTTCTAGGTCCAATATCTTAAGTGTACAATACCTCCACCATCACCAGCCAGCATTGTCCATAGATAACTGGACAAAATGACTTAAACACACACAATCTCATGCACTTTTTGAGGCTGTGAGTTGGAATGAAGAAAGTTGCATTCAATGTCATCTGGGCTTGCATGGTTGAGAAGTCATGTTTTGGCCTACTACTCCCAGAAATCCCAGCCAGTTTACCAGCTGCTAGGATTTCTGGGAGTTGAAGGCCAAAACATTGGGGCCTACAAATTGAGAACCACTGACCTAGTGCAAGGGCTCTCAAATTTTGACTTTTTTCTTTTGTTATCAAACATCTCAGCCAACATGGCCAACAATTAGGACTTCTGGAAGATGGAGTCCAAAATATCCTAAGAGCCAAAAGTTGAGATCAAATGTCCTAGAGTTTCCCTGCCCACAAATAATTAATCTCTGGGCACAAACATCCTTTCTGAAATGTCATGATTATGTTGATTTAAAAGATCATTGTGAGCACCTGTCACTAATAAATGGAAGATGTCATGGGAACAGCTATAAGTATGCTTGGAACAATAATATCTTAAGATAAACATGATGTCTGAGAGCACCTTCCACTGTCACTGTTAAAGAAGGAAATTTGCCAGGCATTTGTGCCAGAAAAAAATGATAAAAGAAGAATAGAGAGATGTGAAGGGTATTGCAAACACATGGACGTGTACAGTAAACAGAATAACAGAGTGATTATGCTTCTGCCAAAGCAGCATAGGTGAAAAATTTCTTTTTTTGGAACTGCCAGGATTTGATTAGGTAATTTAGAGGTAGGGATAACATTTGCCAAGAAAACAGAGTTCAATTAATCTATATCCTCAAATATTTATCAATTGAAATTATTCAGGGGTAAAGAGGGTCATCCTTCTGTGTTTTCCCATATTTACTGATATCCCACATGATTAATACGTTACCAGAGTTACTCTTTGTGGCTACTGTCTAGCATCTATGAGTGCATCTATACTGTAGAATTAATCCAGTTTGACACCACTGTTGCATCCCAGATCGGGAAACACCTATGACTGCATCACCACACATGTCCAGAATATAAGCAAGCAGTTTATTGTAAAAACACATCAAAAGTATAGGAAAACATCAGGAATAAAGAAAGAAGATGAATATTCAAAAAGGGTTAGCAATAAGTGATAATCCAACAGGAAGCCAAATTTCTCATACAGAGTCAAAGATGATACAGTCCAGGAATAGCCAAGAATCACAAGAACAGCTTAAGTTCACAAGCAAAAGGTATATTAGTAAAACTTGATCATGAATACAAAAACAGAATCATAGAAACTTCCAATATACTTGAATCCAAAACCAAAGGCTTGACTTGAAACTAAAACCAGAGACCTCAGGCCTAGCTTCTCACTCATATGCCTGAACTAACTCTTAAGTAAACAACTTGCCAATTCATGGCCACCCATGAAAGTATTTTATCTCCCATTAATTCTCTCCCCAATTTTCCCATGTAATCGCTCTGACCTACAGTGCCTGTTTTCTGCTCTGATCTGTAAATGAAGGCCTGTGTTGATTTCTGTACCTCCAGATGTTTTTTTTTTCTGGAAGTCTTCTGTATCACTTAGTTCCCTACCTGACTCCTTATCTATTGTTGCAGTTTCTGGCTCCTCTGACTGACCTTGAAGGCCTGCACTTTCTGAGTCAGATTTCTCAAAGAGAGAAGCATCATTCCCTTGACTTAAATCTTCATCACTACATGCCCCAGGAAATTCCACAGACAATCCCACAATCCTCTCTAAATCATCAGTGAACCCATCATCCTCAGGAGCAGCCACAGGCTTATCTACAACAACCACTTTAATTACTATGGCTCAGAGTTAGGGAATCATGCAAGCTGTAGTTTAGCGAATCACCAGCACTCTTTGGGAGAGAAGGATAAACATCTTGTAAAACTATAGTTGTTGATATAGTTTTAGTCACCCTGCCCAGAGTTGGTGATAACCTCCATAATCTCATCTTTCAGAATTCATGGTGCTAGTTTTATACTCTGCTTAAAAATAGCATGGCCCAACTTACCGGGCCAAAGAAGTTGCGGTGCAGGGTGTCCCCCACCGCCATTCTTGCCTAGGGGGGGCTTCTTCCTCCCAGAAGCCCCCTCTGATGGCGGGAAGGATTCCCACTGGCGGGTCAAGGGGGCCAATGGCCTATTGACCACGCCCACCACAGGTGAGGCCTGAGCTGGCCTCTCCCTCTTCCAGGTCAGCCTTCTTAAGGCTGCCCGGGCTCCCCAGCAGGCACTCGGCCTGCAACAGCTGATCCATCCCACCCACCCTGCATGCGGTTTATGTTTTCAGTGGATGTTAATTTTGTTCATGTTCACCTTGTCACTGTTTCCTTGTTAACAGTTACTTGTTTGTTGTATGCTTCTCGTCACAACTCCTCGTTGGGCGTGGGGCATGGGCCCTGGATCTGGTTTGGTATCCCCCCCTAGCAGTTAGGGGTGGACGCCCGGTGGTCCCAGGGGTGCCGGGTTGCGTTTGCCCGGTATTGTGCCGGCGGCACCCCGGCGTGTGCGGGATCGGGCAGTATTGGGCTGTCCGATCATGATCCAGGACCCATGCTTGGCTGCCAACCCTTGTTCCTGTTTGCAATAAATGAGTTGTGGCCATTGTTTATCCCACATCGTGTGTGCGTGTACTTATTGGGCTGGCTGTGGGAGGTGTATCGCACTTGCACACGCAAACAGAAGCTGTGCATACAATCGTTTATGTCGAGGCTTCATCCAGTGGGCAAGCCTATCTTTTCTCCTTGAAGTACAAGGGCACTCATTAGTGTTTGTTAAAAGTGGCATAACATCACATGTATCAGCTAGTGCCATAACATTATTGTTTTGCTCTTTTTTCCAGCCTGCCTTGAAAGGCTTGACTTTTACAGACCTGCCTTTATGTTTACAATTAAATATCATGCAACGACTGACCGATGGGCGAGATCTCGTGAGCCTTGGACAAGTAGCTCCCAGCCTTCAAGTGCTCAGCGAAGACAGGCTACTATGGAAAAGACTTTGTCATTATCACTTCACAGACAGACAGGTAATGGGGCAGCAGGGTATGAAGCTGTCCCAATTCCAAGCCAATAAACAAGAATAGAATTGTTGAAGATTAGGTCCGAGTCTTGTTTAGCTTTCATCCATCTGGATTAATCTTGAATAGTGAACATTAAATGGCAAAGCATCGGGAGACAGGGCACTAGTTATCTGCCAAGTTCCTTCTGTCAAAGAACCAAGCATTTTTTGCAAGTTACTTTCTTCTTTAATCGTTAGAATAGCTGCAAAAAGTTAAATAGCAAGGCAAAATCTAAAAAAGGATCACACTGAAAGGTCCAGCTGCACGTAGTTTTCTCCAGCATTGCATGGTTCCTAGTTGGTATTCCAGGTGTGTTTATCTTTCAAAACACGATACTTTTATTTTTTTTAGTTTATATAATTGTGTGATGCCTTAGTTCAAGGTAGAAACTTGTAGAAATGGTTCACATTCATTGGGCCTCCTACTCTTGCCGTATTGTCGATAGGATCCTACATTGTGCTTCTGTAAATTTACACTTATGTGATGGCTGTACTCACCACACTTCTGAAAACTTGTGCAACTAACTTGGGAATGCATAGTGGCTGTTTCTGCAGTCCCAGTGCATAAGGCTGCACAATGAAGGCACGGATGCATATTTACATAGCATTCAAAAATATTCCACCCAATAGCTGGCATCCTGTTTGTTAATCTGAACAAGAGTGAACCTATTGAATCATCTGGCAAGTGCAGCCAATTCAATGGTTTCTGTTTTAGTTGAGATTAACAACAAGATTTGAGTCAATGCGAGTCCTGCTGGTGTTGTGCATCATGTGTCTTCAAGGCAACCTCTTGGGTTTCATAGATTTTTCCTATGCAAGGAATACTCAGAGGTAGTTTTCCCACTTCCTTCCTCCGAAATACAGGCTACAGCTCCTGGTATTTGGTGGCAGTCTTTCATCCAAGTACTAAGCAGAGCTGACTCTGCTTAGCTTCCAAGATCAGACAGGATCTGATGTCTTTAATTATGAAACTCTGCTTAGACAACTTTGAACTGACTATATATGCAGCACATGAACCAAAAATTATGTTTAACTTGAAGAAGAGAAGGTTAGAAGGGGACGTGATAGCCGGCTTTACTTATTTGAAAGAGTATCATATTGAGGAGGGAGCAAGCTTTTCTCCTACTGCTGCAGAAACTTAGGATATGAAACAACAGATTCAAACTATAGGAAATGTGATTCCACCTAAATATTAGGAAAAACATCCTGATGGTAAGATCTGTCCAACAGTGCAATTTACTGCCTAGGAGTGTGATTGACTCATCTCCTCTGGAGGTTTTTGAACAGAGGTTATATGGCCATCAGCCATGAGTGCTCTGCTTGTGTATTCCTGCATGGCAGATTGTAGTTGGATTGGATGGCTCTTTTACTACTGCAGGTTTCAGAGAACATATATAGGTGTATGGCATCAGCGGGCATCCCCTGGGCAACATCCTTGCAGACAACCAATTCTCTCGCACCAGAAGCGACTTGCAGTTTTTCAAGTCGCTCCCGACACAAAAAAGAACTCTGAAAAGTGTGAAAAGTACAATTTTATGGGCCCATTTTCAGTCTCTTATGGCTTGTACTTTTCAAACATTAAAACAATTTCCAAGCCTGTAGCTCTGTGCTGTCTCTCCTACTCCAGATACGCAAGCGGCTGATTTTGTCAGATAAAGGGCATTTGGATTGGAAGAAGATGTACTTCAAGCTTGTGAGATGCTATCCAAGGAAGGAACAGTATGGAGACACCTTACAGCTCTGCAGACATTGCCATATTCTCTCTTGGAAGGTAGGTAATCAGTCCCAGATGTACTGAAGCATATCATTGGGGACAACAAACAGCTCTTATCTTGGGAACAAGAAAGTATTGTGTTGGTGTGGAAGAAAAGAAGCAGGGACATCGGGTTGTTGTAGGTTTTTTTCGGGTTATATGGCCATGTTCTAAAGGCATTAGAATGGCCATATAGCCCGAAAAAACCTACAACAACCCAGTGATTCCGGCCATGAAAGCCTTTGACAAGCAGGGACATCCATTAGCAACTGATAGTGGGGTAATGAAACAGTTCCAGATTTTGGTCTAAGCTGTAGAATGGCTTTCTAAGTAGCTGAGCCTGTTCTCAATAGGCCCTGCAACTTGGAGATTTCCTATGAAGAGCTGTTCAGCAGTGGAACTCTCTGCCCCAGAGTATGGTGGAGGCTCCTTCTTTGGAGGCTTTTAAACAGAGGCTGGATGGCCATCTGTCGGGGGTGTTTTGAATTCAATTTTTCTGCTTCTTGGCAGGGGGTTGGACTGGATGGCCCATGAGGTCTCTATGATTCTATGAAGTGTGGACAAGAATCTGGAGTAGATTCACCAGTCGCAATACCAGGGAGACCACCAACCACCACTGACTCTGATCAGTCAACAGTATAAAATATTGACAGTCTTGGGTTCCCTTTCCCATTCCCTTTTCTGCTCAAGCCCCTGATGGTGGCCTCTCTGAAACAATAATATTTTAATTACTGTCGTGGTAAGGAATTCATAATGGATTGAAATATGAATGCATAAAAAAAAACAAATAAATAGTGAGAGCCCGTGGGGTATAGTAGGGAAAAGTACTGAACTCTGAAGTCTAAATATCAGTTACTGCTTGGCTGTACAACTTATTGGTTAACATTACTGAGCTATTTACAAACACGCCATGAAAGCCAACTTTTTAAACCTGGAATGTTCTTGCTTTTAGGGCACCGACCATCCATGTACAGCTAACAATCCAGACAGCTGCTCGACTTCTCTTTCACCCCAGGACTTCATCAACTTGTTTAGATTTTGAACTCCTGAACGATTTCAACTCTACAGCTCACTATTCTGATGAGACATTTTATACTGCCGAGCGAAACCTGTTCAACCTGTATATAGTTTGTAAATATTGCTGCTTGACGTTCCTGAGTCAAGAGGACAAGAGGATTTTAGGAGGCGAAGGGAGTCATCATTCAGTAGCAATGAACTGTTTAAGATCATGGCTTTCTAATTGGACTGTTCAATGCAAAAGGAAGTCCTTTGTAAATACAATGTTTTGTGAAAACTGAAGCACACATGTCAGGAGGGATAATCCCAGAACTGCTTAAGAGCTTCAAATGAAATTTGTTTTGCGTCCATTTGAAATATCTCTTTGGCTTCAAAGCATGGGGAATTAAACACCATGATTAGGAAAAAATTGTCAAACTATTCCCTGCTCTAGGTTTTGTTTACAAGGGGTATTTTATACCTAAGAGGGTTTTTTAAAGAAATACGTAAGAGAGATGCTTTTATCCCCCCTTTTTAAAATATGTACATACCACACCGTTTTCTACCTCTGAAGTGCTTTCCAACCAACCCAAGATGCAATGTGAAGTATTTGTAGAGATTCGAAAGGAAAATGTCGATGGTGATGGTTAGCATGTTCCTTTCTGCTATTACTTAAGATGTGTTTTAATCTGCTTTCTTTGGGGCAATATTTGAACAGTTAAGTTCTAGTAAAGACAGAAGGACAACCCAATGGTTGGGTTTTTTGATGGCTGGTAAGAACATTAAATGTTTAGGAAAATTGGTGATGGAAATTTAGCGTGCTAGACCACAGCACACCATCCATATTCACCTTCTAGTGACAGCCCAAAGTATTTTGATGTGGCTACAGTTTTGCACAACCATTTTCAATAACAGATTGACTGTATATACTGCTGTGAGAGTTGCTAGTGCTTTGATTTGCAAAGAGAAGCAATGATGAATGCTTGAAGGCAAGTCCTATTTTTTTTTAATAAAAAAACAGCTCTCACAAATGCAGACAGGTTGAGCATCCCTTGCCTAGAAAGCTGAAATACTCCAAAATCTGAAATGGTATCCATCCATAGACAGCCGTGATAGTTGATGCTTTTGCTTTCTCATGGATCAATGTACACAAACTTTGTTTCATTCATAAAATCATTTAAAAATATTTTCTATTGTTACCTTCAGGCTATAAAGCATATAAATTTCCTATCTCCAAGATCTATGTACATATATGCAAATACACATATTCCAAAATGTAAAAAAATCCAAAACACTTTTGGTCCCAAGCATTTCAGTCAAGGCATACTCAACCTATGTTAGATTCTCAACTGTCCAGCCCAGTGGTTCTTAACTTGTGGGTCCCCAGGTGTTTTGGTCTACAACTCCCAGAAATCCCAGTTAGTTTAGCAGCTGCTAGGATTTCTGGGAGTTGAAGGCCAAAATATCTGGGGACCCACAGGTTGAGAACCACTGGACTAGACCTTGAATAGGTTGATGCTCCTCTGGAGGACACTTATTTGTTAGCATCAGTGACTTGTTCCCTGAGTAATTTTGCAATTATGGTATTCCATGTATGCAAAAGACATCAGTGTGTTGTAGCCAATCTTCTGAAAAGTAGTGGGAAAACTCCCAACTAATCATGAAACTTATTCATTTCAATGGATGGGAATATGGGTTATTGAATGTCAATGGAGTGAATAAGGCAAAATCAAGACGGGAACAAGGAAGCGCATCCATTGATATTTGTGGAGAATCAGTAAAGTAAAACTTTCTTATGTTGTTATCAACCCGAAAGAGGTTTTGTTTGATTTTGTAGGAAGACTTTTCTCCCTGTGATTGTTTATATGTTTTCATGAGGAATGAATGAGGAATTCGCTTCAAAGCTCTTTGCCAATACAAATATTACATGATGTGATTTCTGTGGAATTAATTCAAATTTGTGTTTGATTCTTGAGATTCCTAGGCCCCCGCCATCCTTTGGATTTGCCAGGTTGCCCAAGTAAAATGCCAGCGAAGTTAACTGTATCATATCAAACTGTTGCTTCCCCATTTATTTCTAAATATATGAAAAGTATAAAAATTGATTATTCTAAAATCTGAATATTGTGCACAAGAAAGAGATTCCTATTTGGACTGGATAATATGATTAGTATTCAAAGCTTTCTAATGGTTTGAAAGGCCACATTTGGAAAGTTTCCCTGGTCAGCCATTTGCTAAAAATACATGTATTTAGAACATTGATAATATTAATGAAATGAATTAATTTTCCTTAATTGGTTTAAGATTTTCATGTTGTTTCAATATATTTCAGTCAAAGTTGTTCTACATCCTTTTGGGAATGTGTGATATTTTTACCATGTTCAATTCTTGCATGAGTAAATCAAAACTGGTTGATGGTAGCTATTTGCTATGAACTGAAAAACCCGAACCTGAAAAAGTTACTTCTTGGACTAAATCTCCTGCCTGGCTGTGAGATTTTAGAATAGTAGAGTTGGAAGAGACCACACATTTTGACAGCTGTAGTCCAATATAACTTTTTCCAAATTTTGAGAAATGCAATAAGAGTCCTGGCCATCTTACTACTTTCCAAAAATCACTTGTGGAAGTAGTTTAATAATAATAATAATTACAAGGGAAAAGCTAAAACCTGTCAAATACAAAGAATATTTACTTTCAGATCTTGGCTATGCATTGGTTCTGCAATATGTAGCCTGGAGGATTTTAATTGGCAATTATAACCTTTATTTAGATGAGCCGATATGTGGTTTTTCTTTTGTTATTCTTCAGGCATGTCTAGTTAAATTGGCCGATCCTCAAAACTTCACATATCCTTGGGCCTCTCATCCTGTCTGTACCATAGACAGAGCACAATTAGGGCTCAGATAGGCTGCATCATCTGAATAATCCAAAGAGTAAGTTAGCTCCTTCTTGTATTATATCCTTGCTTTAGAGCTCCTTAACCAATATGTCTAGCTAGACAGGAGAAATTTGCTGTATGAGTATGCCCTCCAAAACAAGACTGAAGGCTGTTTAAGATGTTGTTATGGTAGGCGAGGAAGTTGAGAAGGTGCAGAGATTGTTGACCTAATGGAGTATGGAAGTAGATGCTGTTAAACAGATGTTGATGTGGTTGATGTCTTAACAGGAAAATTAAATTCAGTTGGTTCATGCTTGGGGTTTTTTTTCTTGTCAGGAATGACTTGAGAAACTGCAAGTTGCTTCTGGTGTGAGAGAATTGGTTGTCTACAAGGACATTGCCCAGGGGATGTCTGGATGTTTTGCCATCCTGTGGGAGGTTTCTCTCATGTCCCCACATGAGAAGCTGGGGCTACAAGATGAGAGCTCACCTCACTCCCTGGATTCATATCGCCAACCTTTCAGTCAGCAGCCCTGCTGGCACAAGGATTTAACCCATTGTGTCACCGGGGGGTCATGCTTGTGATGCACATATCAACTTAGGGTGCATCTACACTGTAGAATTAATGCAGTTTGACACTACTTCAGCTACCATGGCTCAATGCTGTGGAATCATAGGAGTTGTAGTTTTGTGAGGCACCTGCCTTCTTTGGCAGGGAAGGGCAGAGACATTGTAAAAACAGCATCAAACTGCATGACTTCTTCTGTGTTGATGCACCCTAGGAAATGGGAGTCAACTGTGCCCATACAATTGTGTGCTCTAATTCTGTAAGCTGGTGCAAAAATGAACTTGTGGCTTCATACATTTTCTTGAAATTTTAAATCTCATCAGACCTAGATAGCACAGTCAATAATAAAAAGGCTGATGGGAGTTGTAGTCCAACTACATCTGGAAGGCCACAAATAGATCACCTTTGTGTTAGGCAAATAATGCATTCAGCAGCCAGGGAATGGCTCTTTTGCAAGTGGTATGAAAAGTGGTACATATATGTATTGTATTAGATTTCAATGAGCCCCTTCTTTGCAAAAATCTAGAAAGGTGCTTCTTTTTGCTGTTTCGATATTTGCTTCTTAACGACACAAGAGGAGTGAAAACAATGAAATTCCATTGTTCATATAAGTGGATCACGGTGGCTGGAGCAAAGTTTTTGCTTGGATGTTTCTGGTTGCTATTGCGAATTAGTAGCCGGCCTGGGAATGTTTTGAGTTGTAGGAAAACATTGATAGCACTTAGTGCAAGTGACAACATTTCATTGGTGCGTGTTCGTATGGAGAACTGTGATTGCCGCTGTTATTGTTGGTTTCAGCTCTGTAAAATGCCCCTTATGTTGCCACACAGGAATTTTGAAGGATTGTTGTTTTTCTTTAGCATTGTAATGACTATCTTTTTGCAATGAGTTTGAAGAGACAGAAAGCAAGGGTGTTTGTATATATATACATAGCTTCTGAAAGTGACAGGTAAAATATCTGATCACATCAGCACTCCTGAAATGCTGGTTTTTCAGTCATTCCCTAGAGAAACCTGAAAAATGTAGTTTTGTGTGGGGCACAATCTGAAGTTTTCTGAAAACAGCCAATAGCCAAAATGGCTGGGAACGATGAGAGTTGTAGTCCAACGTGTGTGGAACGTGTCAGGTTGGTAAAGGCTGTCATAAAACAAAGCTCTCGGTGCCCTTGCTGAACTACATATTTCATTATTAATTTCTAAAGAAATTTGTGTATAGAAGCGCTGTAAAAAGGAAGCTTTTGTTTTAGGAATTGTGCTTAGCCTGCTTGGTTTGGGAGCCTAGAGAAGGAGATTGTACATAGGGGGAAATGCCAATTCTCAAACAGACCACATGTATGAATGAGAAAGATTGTTCACATGTGTGTCATGCAGTTTTTATTCACATATATATATTCTGTAACAGCAGTCACACAATCTCTTACTCTTCTGCCTCTTTGCACCCAAACCAATCCCTGACTAATGAACTGATAACCCCTAGTTTATGTGGTATGACTTTTTTTACTTTTCTGATTTTGTAAAACGTGTGGATTTTATACTATAGGTAATACGTATTGTTGCATAAGCATTGTTGGAACACAAATAAGGAGAAATTTCTGTCTGCACCTTGTACATAGGATTATGACATTTTGTGTGGATCTGAATCCCCTTTAACTAAAATGTGTTCCATCTCAGACACATTTTACTATACTTTTGCACTCTTTGTGTGTACTTGTGTTGCTGTTTTCCTTCCCACTTGGCAAGATGGTTCCATATAACGAAACAATCCTAGTGGCAAAGAATTTGCCATGGATTGACCTGATTGTGATGCACAAAATAACGTTAGATGTTCAGATAAATGTGCTTGAAACAGCAGCTGAGCGGCTGTTTCGGCACAACTTTATCCAATATGCTTCTTCTTCCAATATACCCAGAAAAGCTATCTTATTGTCTATCTGAATCAAATGTTTGGCTCTGAAGGACTTGGCTAAAGTAGACCTAAGACCTTCAAAGGATAGTAAAATATCTAAGCCCAAGAGGATGTTCCTGGCTTGGATCTTTTGTATAAATCAGCTCAATCACTACACAGGAGAGGAGAATGGGGCTGGCAGGGATTTCTCAACAACTTGTTGCACGGGTCATTTTCACAGCTCTGCCTCTTGCCAAAACCCCGTCAGATTTAACTAAAAACAGCTCTGCTTGCTTGCTGACATGTTGGCAAAAACAACAGCTTGTCATTATAAATATATATGACTTTTTAAAAGTCACACTACTTTTGGGGATCTTTTGTGAAATTCGACATCCTTGTACTCAGCCTGATTATGTGTTGACGAATCTGGCAAGAGAAGGAGTGGGGTCCTATTCTTTCCTTCTTACCATAAGGCCCTTTTCAATGAGAAGTACAGGTGAAGCACATATCAAATTGAGGAGCCACTTTGTGTTTAAGAAACAAACCCAGCTTTTAACAGATAGGTGATTTCCAACAAAAGTAACATTTATTTACAGTGCTTATATTCGATCCTTCTCACCCCGAAGGGGACACAGGGCAGATCACAGAACACATATACGGCAAACATTCAATGCCGATTATACAATGACGAGACAGACAACAGATAGAAGTATATTTAGGCTTTTTCTCATCATTCAGCATCTTTTGGAGGCTGTACTCGGTACCGGCCACAGGGGGGTGCTATCGTGCCATCTCCTTGCCAAAGGGCTTTCTTTGTTCGTAAACTTTTCTCTGAAACGCCGTGCCTAAAATACCTCCCTGCTTAATTTGGTTCCTATTTATCTTCTCACATTGCTGTTTTCGATCTGTTAGATGAGCGGAGTAGCTGTGAGCTGGGAGATCAGGAGCTCACCCTGACCCGACTTCGAACTGTCAACCTTTCGGTTGGCAAGATTTACTGGTGATTAACCTGCTGTGTTATAGCTGGCCCTTCTGCATCTTCCTTACTCTCTTAATATTTGATAGCCTTCCTATAACTTCAGTCCTCCGGGTGTTTTGGACTTCAACACCCACAATTCCTAACAGCCGGTATTGTGAGAGTTGAAGTCCAAAATAACTGGAGGTCCAAAGTTTGCCTTTGCCTGTCTAGCTGCTTAGAAGTTCTCAACATATTACAAATTAATCTAGTATATTATTCTGTTGTTGCCTCACAACCCTGTATGCTTTTACCATTGCTTATTGTATTCCATGTACAGTAGACTCTCAGTTAATTGGAGTTCAAACAACTTGAAATCTCAAGCAACTGGCGGGAAAAAAAATCAAAGGAATAATACTTTATTGCATATTGCATTGACAAACTTGTTTTTATAATATAGTAAAATTGCGCTGTGTTAAGTTTGACTTTATTTGTCTTAATTTGCTTTTAATTACTGTACTTTGATATGAATGTCAAGTCAATACAGAGTTTAACTTTATGATTTGGTATAATATAGTATTAGTTAGGCCTATTTTTAAAAGGAACTCTCAAGCAACCAGAGACTGTTTATCTGGCATCTACCAAACCCCATAGGTGCCGGTTAACTGAGAGTACTGTATTTGCTTGCAACCATTAGGAGAGTAGGAAGCAGAGGCTGGAATGACAGGTCTGTCAGGAAACCCTCCATAGTTGGAAGTAGCCCAGAAATAACATTAAAGTGGCCTTTGCATTATGCTTTCCCCCCAGGATCTTCATCTCTTTTGTTTTGGGGAAGCTAGGACTAACAGCTGGGTTTCTTCCAGAACCTGTAACTCCAGAACTGTTCTAAATATGTGAGTAGAATTGCTCTAGAACAGTGGTGCCTAACCTGTGCATTTCCAGATGTGGATGGACCACCAGAATCGCATACCATTGTCCATAATAGCTGGGGCTTCTGAATGCCGAAGTCCAGCAATATTTAGGGAATCCATATTTAGACACCACTGCTCTAAAGTATTTGGACTGCAATGCTTTATCCTAAGGATAACACATGTTGACTTCAGTGGCATTATTTGCAACATCATCAGGTGCCTACATCAGGCTTGATCATAGCTTTCAGTCACTGTCTTACAGGAAGTAAGAACTACTGTGAATTATACAGTTGTTCAAGAACTATGCTGGAATGGAGAGGCATCTGTTTGGCACAATGGCCAATGCTGCCCTTTCTCCATCATATACCGTCGTGACAGATAATGTCATATTTTCCTACATGTAATGCCAGTGGGCCAGCTCCTGAAGGAGCATTTCTTTTCCAAGTCACAAATCTTTCTTTGTCATATTGTCAACATTCACTATATATATTATCTGGCTGTAAATGTGTATAAAGGGGAAATGTATATGTTTTAAGACAAAGGTGGGGTGGCTCGGAGTTGGAAAACACCCCTTGTATTTAAAACATACTTGTGATTAGTATAATTGTGTGCTTGAAAATCCTTCCATATATATTTTGCACATTCTTTTTTTCTTGCATGTTCAGCCCTTTTAAGTTTGACAACTGTTTGGTACAAGCAGTGATGTTAATTTTTTTTAAAGAAACTTTTTTTTGACACTGAACTATAAATAAAATGGTTTGGAAATTTATGAACACTTGTAATAGTATCATTGCTTAGATGTGCTCAAACTTTTCATTTGACTTAACCATGTCCTAAAGTTGGTTTCAGTTTGTCTCCCCAGAATATGAAGATAAGTAATTCATAGAATTATAGAATCAAAGAGTTGGAAGAGACCTCATGGGCCATCCAGTCCAACCCCCTGCCATGAAGCAGGAATATTGCATTCAAATCACCCCTGACAGATGGCCATCCAGCCTCTGTTTAAAAGCTTCCAAAGAAGGAGCCTCCACCACACTCCGGGGCAGAGAGTTCCACTGCTGAATGGCTCTCACAGTCAGGAAGTTCTTCCTCATGTTCAGATGGAATCTCCTTTCTTGTAGTTTGAAGCCATTGTTTCGTGTCCTAGTCTCCAGGGCAGCAGAAAACAAGCTTGCTCCCTCCTCCCTGTGGCTTCCTCTCACATATTTATACATGGCTATCATATCTCCTCTCAGCCTTCTCTTCTTCAGGCTAAACATGCCCAGCTCTTTAAGCCGCTCCTCATAGGGCTTGTTCTCCAGACCCTTGATCATTTTAGTCGCCCTCCTCTGGATACATTCCAGCTTGTCAATATCTCTCTTGAATTGTGGTGCCCAGAATTGGACACAATATTCCAGGTGTGGTCTAACCAAAGCAGTATAGAAGGGTAGCATTACTTCCCTAGATCTAGACATTCCCTTCTCTGTTGTTGTTGTTGTTGTTGTTGTTGTTGTTGTTTATACCCCACTTTTTTGCTCCACAAAGCCTACTGATGGCCAACTTGTTCCTGATCTATCCAGGTCTCTGACCCAAGAACCAAACTCTATACGAAGTCCTCAAGGCTAATTTTGTCCCTATAGCTACACAGACAGTATTACTACAGATCCAAAAGGTATCTACCTGAATGGCATGTATACCCACACATCCTCCAAGTCACGACTTATCAAAATATAATAGTTATAACTGCATAGCGACACATGCAGAATCCATAGATTCCTGACTTAAGCACCTTCTGCTTAAAAGCCTATCTTTACTACTTTAGTGTATCTAAGGGTGCATCTACAATTAATGCAGTTTGACATCACCGCTCAAGCAGGGTGCTTTGAAATGGTTGAACAGAAGCTCTCTGAAGCTTTAGGTGCTCTTACTGCCTATTACAGGAAAAGCCAGCTGATTTCTAATCCATCTAAAACACACATGTGTGCTTTTCATTTTAAGAACAGACAAGCATCTTCAGCTCTAAGGATAACCTGGGAAGGAATCCCATTGTAGCACATCAAAATACCTGGGAGTTACTTTGGACCATGATCTGACTTACAAGGGGCACTGCTTAACTATCAAGCAAAAAGTGGGTGCTAGAAATAATATCATACGGAAGCCGACTGGCACAACCCGGGGATCGCAACCAGACAATGTGAAGACTGTGCGTTTTGCTACTCTGCTGCTGAATACGCATGCCCAGTGTGGAATGCATCTCATCACGTTGAAACAGTGGATGTGGCTCTTAATGAGACATGCCGCATTATCATAAATGTCTACCTCCTACACCACTGGAGAAATTATACTTTTTAGCCAGTATTGCACCACCTGACATCTGTCGGGAAGTAGCCAATAATGAAAGGACCAAGGCAGTGACATCTCTGACCCATCCTCTGTTTGGATATCAGACAGCACGCCAATGCCTTAAATCAAGAAATTGTTTTCTAAAACCTACAGAGATACTTGCAGGAACACCTCAGAAAGCAAGAGTCCACAAGTGGCAGGCTAAAACCTGGAACCTCAATCGGTGGCTGATGCCAGATGAGAGACTCCCCCCTGGGTGCACAGAAGGCTGGGCAACTTGGAAGGCACTGAACAGACTGCGCTCTGGCACCACGAGGTGCAGAGCCAATCTTCAGAAATGGGGCTACGAAGTGGAGTCCACAACATGTGAGTGAAGAGAAGAGCAAACCACAGACTACTTACTACAATGCAGCCTGAGCCCTTTTACATGCTCAGTGGAGTACCTTCGTACAGCGACGCCAGAGTCATTCCAAAGTGGCCAGCAACTGGTCAAAGGGCATTTAGTATAATGCCAAGTTTTTGAACTCTGATTGTGTTTTAAATTGCAACTGGCTTTCGACACGACAAATAAATGAACTGTCATTGCTCAATACTATGGGATCATGGGACTTGTAGTTATTATAAGGCCTTTAACCCTCTCTGGCAAAGAGTGCTGATGCGTCACCAAACTACAAATCCCAGGATACCTTAGCATTGAGCCATGCTAATTAAAGTGGTGTCTATTGGCATTAATTCTACAGCTTAGATGTGCCCTAAGAGACACATTTTTTTACACAGCTCTATAATAAAAAGAGTCAGGATTTTCTCAGGCCCATTTCCTTGCAAATGAAACATTTCCTCCCCCCACCAAAATAGCTGGCTTGCGTAGTGCTGAATCACAACCTTCAATCTTCCTTTCACCACAAGTCTAGTATTTATAAAGTCTCTTATTTTTAACTTCATGAATTCAGGGTTAATACTAGTTTGGAGACGTGTCTAGACAACCGGGGAGAGAGCAGGTTGGATGGAGGGGAAGAACATAAAATATTTTGGATTGCAAAAGAAGTAACACTGATGACCTTTTCTTGTGCCTGGGAAAAAGTTACTTCTGAGTTTTATTTGGAAGTTGTCACACGCACATACACACATACACACACACATATATGTATGTATATATATATATAAATGCAATGTTTGTTTGTGGGATTAACTTAACTCAAAAACCACTGGGCGAATTGACACCAAATTTGGACACAAGACACCTACTAACCCAAGGAGTGACCATCACTCAAAAATTTGATTTTGCCATTTGGGAGTTGTAGTTGCTGGGATTTATAGTTAACTTACAATCAAAGAGCATTCTGAACTCCACCAATGATGGAATTGAACCAAACTTGGCACACAGAACTCCCATGACCAACAGAAAACACTAGAAGGGTTTGGTGGGCATTGACCTTGAGTTTTGGAGTTGTAGTTCACCTACATCCGGAGAGCACTGTAGACTCAACACAACAATGGATCTGAACCAAACTTGGCACGAATATTCCATATGCCCAAATACGAAAACAGATGGAGTTTGGGGGAAATAGACCTTGACAATTGGGAGTTGCAGTTACTGGGATTTGTAGTTCACCTACAATCAAAGAGCATTCTGAACCCCACCAACAACAGAATTGGGGCAAACCTCCCACACAGAACCCCCATGACCAACAGAAAGTACTTAAGACCATCCAGTCCAACTCCCTTCACCAGGGCAAGAAAACGTAATCAAAGCCCTCCTGACAAAGAGCCATCCAGCCATAGATATAGATAGATATATATGATTCACACACACACAGATATAAAATCATAGATTTGAAAGGGACAAAGAAGGACAATTTGCATGTTGCATGTTCCAGAGTAGGCAAACCATACAATCTCTACATCAACACTGACAAAGAAACAGCAAGAAATACTGTTTACCCACAAGCATAAAGAAATTACATATATTAGAAACCAATAGTTTCTAATTACTTTATTTTCCAGATCACCAGACTGGGCCACAGCAACGCATAGCAGAGGATGGCTAGTATATGTATAAAGAAAGGAAAACCAAAGGAATGTAAACTAGGATATTTTTACTAAAGGGAAAATTGACTAAAGCTGATAACGCTGCAACAGGGTAAGTTGGCTTATTGTGGCAAATTTATCACATGTCTACGGTGCATAGAGCTTTAGACATAAACACTCAACTCACCCACTTTTGTTTTTCCTTTACACCCACGAGTACATTCCCTTATGTTCATCCCAAGGGAAATGTTCTATTTTTAACTTTGTTCTGGTAACTGAGAAGCATCCAACCATATTAAAGGGTATTTTCACATGGCCACAGAGAACCCGAGACAATGCCTCCCAGTGTTGGCTTGTCTCATGAAGATTCCAGCAGAGAAGTGAAGGATGATGATATTAAAAGATCAGATCATGAGCTGAACATGAGTCAGCAGGGCGATGCAGCTGCAAAAAAAGCTGGCTGCAATTGTTTTCAAGTTGGGAGGCAGGACAGCTTCGCTCTTGTCAGAAGTCATGTGGAGTCAACACTGTGTCCGGTTCTGGATAGCTCCAGGAACAAAATGCTGAACATGGAGCACCCTACTGAACATCTGCATGGAAAAGCCAGGGCAGAGCAACATTAGGAGCACATTTTCAGCAAAACCGTAGAAGACAGTCTGACCCATGAGCAGATTTTTCTTTTAAATATAATTTAGTTCTCATGAAGAAAACAAAACAGAGAAAAAAACAGGGGTCATGTGCTTTGAGTTTGATTAAATGAATAGAAAAGTCCAATAATACTAACATTTAAGGAACATGTGGTCTTAAATCAAGGATTCCCATTAACCAGAGCCCCCGGTGACGCAGTGGGTTAAAGCCCTGTGCCTGCAGGACTGAAGACCGACAAGTCACAGGTTCGAATCCGGGGAGAGGCGGATGAGCTCCCTCTAACAGCTCCAGCTCCTCATGCAGGGCCATGAGAGAAGCCTCCCACAAGGATTATAAAACATCAAATCATCCTGGCGTCCCTGGGCAACGTCCTTGCAGACAGCCAATTCTCTCACAACAGGAGCTCCTGACACGACAAAAAAAAAAAAAAAATTAACCAGAGTGTGCCAGCCATATGGTTTATACTGCAATTATCCAATGCATTTTTCTGAATCAGCATCCCAAATAACCAAACTGAATCTAAAGTTGACCAAAAACTGATTTGTAACCCTTTTGGTATTAATGTTGGAGAGTAGTCCTTGGTCAAAGTGGTCCCTGGTCAAAAAAAAAGTTGGGAATCACTATTCTACAACTTAAATACAAACATAATACATGAGACCATCTCATTATCTTCAAACCAGAGTTGAAGTGGACAGTGCTTCAAATGAAAGGCAGAAACAGGTTTTCCGCTCTCAATTTTGACATTGGTGAAATATATTTTTATAAAGACTAATAATTATTGGGTTGTAGGTTTTTTCGGGCTATATGGCCATGTTCTAGAGGCATTCTCTCCTGACGTTTCGCCTGCATCTATGGCAAGCATCCTGAGGATGCTTGCCATAGATGCAGGCGAAACGTCAGGAGAGAATGCCTCTAGAACATGGCCATATAGCCCAAAAAACCTACAACAACCCAGTGATTCCGGCCATGAGAGCCTTCGGCAACTAATAATTATATCTGTGAGGATTTAGATAGAAAGTTGAACATAGAAACATTTGTTCCATTTTGCCCCCTTTCTGTGGTGGTGTACAGCCCTCCTGGAAAACCTTGTATAGCCCAGAGGTCTTAGCTAGGGAATTTCCCTTGAATTCCAAACAGTTCTACAAGTGAAGTACAAATCATTCAATAAATCACCATAAAACAAGAAAAGCTCTTTTACTTCATGCAGTGTATATAAACCCAGTTTCTAAAGCATCAAGGGATTAAAAAGAACAAGTTTTTTGATCTCTTCTTTTTAATACTTCAAAAAAAATGTTTTGCAGTTGTTTGCAAACAGATCAATTGCAACTTTTTGTGAGACCATCAAGGGCTCTGGGCAGTAACAGCTCATGATGATGAAACTTGTGGTCATGGCTCATGTGACTGTGTGCTGTTTCATGCTGGGCCTGTGCATAAGACTGTAGACAGGACATAAATTCTGTGTGCCCAACGGGACGCAGGGGCTGCCTCAGATTAAAGGCCTTTGGATTTCCTTAAAATAGAGTCTTTAGATTGCTTAAAGGTTCAACAAAGTTCTTTATTAATGCAAACAAACAGGTACTTTAAGGCTTTCTTAATAGTCTATTGGCTCTTGCAATCTTGTTCACTGGGAACAGGCACTATCTTCTTAACTGTAACTAACTAATGGGGAAATCCTTAACTTCTAATCTGGGCAGCCTGTTTTTGCCTCTGATGGCGTGGAGCCCCTACACCCGGTACCAACTGCTTCTGGCTTCCGCGAGTGATCCTTACCAAGCAGAGCTTTGTAGACCTCCAGGGGAAAGGAGTTCAGGTTTCAGTGATGGTTGACTGAAGTCCCTCCGCAAAGGAGCTGTAAGGCTGTATGATCCTCGGCCAAGCTGTGGGCTGTATAACCGTGGCCAAGCTGTAGACTGTATATCACCCCGGCCAAGCCGTAGAAGACGAAGCTTTCTACAGCTCTTGGTATTATGTCCTGCATGAAAAGCTTCTCTGTGTGGACTGAACCCAACATGGCTCCTATTCCCTCCAAAAACCCAAAAGGGGGCGGGATCAGGGAACCTAACTATAATTGACAGGTGGCTTGCCCTATAATTGCAGCCAAAAGAAGCCACCTATCTGCAGAGTCCCTGAACCTTAGGACTACAACAAACATTCAATGCAAAGCAAACAAAATTGGAGCTCCTGGTACAGTTGTACCTGCACAGACTGAGTTAATCCACCTGTAAAAGTCATCTTCTTTACCTATGGTTTTCCACTTTACAGACCTTGATTCCTTTTTCCAGCAAGTCAGGAAATACCTGACGTATATAGATTCAGTACAAACTTTCTGGTTTATAATAATAGCCCAGACTTGATTTTTTAATTTTTTTTAAAAAAAGTTTTAATTCATTACATATATTCTTTTTTCCCCTCCAAACCAAGAATATTATTACTCCAATTACCAAATAAACATACTGTCAGCTCTCATCATCAAAATCAGTGCCTTCACCACAAACGTACCTTTTGAATATGCCCAACGAAGAATTAGAAAGAAAATTTGGAAATAATTTGTTTTACACAACACTGGCAGCTCAAATAGTATATGCCAGGTATTGGAAAACCCCAGAGATACCCCCTTTAGAAAAATGGGGAAAATATATTACAGATATGCTGATAATGGATAAAATAATTGTATCATTAAGAGAACTATTAGCTTTGTTAATTAATGGCAACCAATGATTCAACATTCCAATGTAAAATTAAACTAAAAATGTATACAGAGGATCCTATAAGACTGTAGATAAGGAGGAAGTGGGTGTTAAGTAAGAGTCTATGATATTGTTATATGTATTATTTAGATAGTAGATTGTGACCCCTTAAAGGAAATATATTATCTCAGAAATGATTAAGGAACATTAATAGATGGAGTGTATTGCACTGTATGCAACAAACACTTGCAAATGTATATCTATTTGAATAAATAAACATTTTTTAAAAAAATCAGTGCCTCAGTTTGAATTATTCTGCCATCCTACATGGTATGCTCAAAATCAGTTCTGCCAAAGGCCTGCACAAAGTCATGGAGTGAAAAGACGGATCCCCAGCCAACATCTGGATTCATACTGATGAAGCTGTCCAGGTTCATCTTGAAGTCTTTAAAAAAGAAAAGGAAGTGAGAGAAAGGCATTAAAATTAGTAGCCCTTGGAGCAATTTAGTTGTCAAAATGTGTGATTCTATTGATAGAGCTCTTTCTATGAATTGTCGAAGGCCTTCATGGCCGGAGTCATGGGGTTGTTGTAGGTTTTTTGGGCTGTATGGCCATGTACTAGAAGCATTCTTTCCTGACGTTTTGCCTGCATCCATGGCAGGCATCCTCAGAGGTTGGGAGGGCTGTTGGAAACTAGGAAAATTGGGTTTATATATCTGTGGAAAGTCCAGGGTGGAAGAAAGAACTCTTGTCTGCTGGAACTAGGTGTGAGAGCTCTTTCACTCTGTTGAATTGGGAGAAACAGTTTTTCTTTCCCATTTGCTGCCTCAAATGCACTTAAATATTGATTTAGGATTGTTTGCACACCCTCATCTTTCTCTGAAAACCCTATCCTAGTTTATCCTACCTTGTTCATGCCCAGCATTTTAAATTTTTAATTATTACACTTGGCCCTGCCATTGGTTTTAAATGCTGTATATTATTGTTATTGTTTATTGCTTATTGTGTATTTTCTGTTTTTGAGTTTATTTTAACTGTTTTGTATTGACTATTGTTATTGCTTTGTTTATTGATGTGCTGTGGGCTTGGCCTCATGTAAGCCACACCGAGTCCCTTGGGGAGATGGTAGCGGGGTACAAATAAAGTATTATTATTATTATTATTATTATTATTATTATTATTATTATTATTTACTCCACAATGCAGCCTAAAATCTGTTCTGGAAAACTAGGAAATCCCAAGCTGCAGTAGGGAGAGCGGAGAGGGAAAAAAATGAGAATTATTCCAGGGCCATCTGGAAGTACAATATTGGATTTGGGGGTGGTTTCTTTTCCTGAGGGCCACGGGGCCTGGGAGCTTTGCTCCAGACAAGAGATTTCCTCAGAACAGATTCAAATAAGCCCAACCCTTCCTGTGGGCAAAACAGGGCTGATGAAAGGAAATGCAAATCAAAAATGAGATTGAGGCTGAGACACATACATGTTGCCCACAAGCACAGTGGCTGGCAGCATGTAAACAACCAAGGACCTAGATATCAGAGGGAATGCCTTTCCTGATACATCACTGACTGACCATTAAGGTTTGCTAGGTCACACCCCTGGGGGCCATTTGCCATGGGAAGCAGCAGGAAAAGGCTTTTTGACTATCAAATGCCAGTAATGGAATGTGCCCCCTCCTCGGAGGCCCAACTGACCCAAACCCTGCCCTCATTTTTGGCATTAAGTTAAAACCCAGCTGTTCCATCTTAGCATCTGAGACCACAGTTTAATTTCTAACCCATTCGTTTACGGGTTTTAAGTTTTTAAATTGTTTTGAAATGTCTTAAATGTTTTGAACTGTTTCAAGATGTTTTATATTTTTATCTTAAAGGATGTCATGTTGAGGAAGGGGCAAGCTTGTTTTCTGCTGCTCCGGAGACTAGGACATGGAACAATGACTTTAAATAGCAGGAAAAGAGATTCATCCGAAACATAAGAAAGAACTTCCTGATGGTAAGAGCTGTTTGGCAGTGGAATATGCTGCTTCAGAGTGTGATGGAGTCTCTTTCTATGAAGGCTTTTAAACAGAGGCTGGATGGCCATCTGTCAGGGGTACTTTGATTGTGCTTTAATAATAATAATAATAATAATAATAATAATAATAATAATACTTTTTTTGTACCCTGCTACCATCTCCTCAAGGGACTCGGTGAGGCTTACATGAGGCCAAGCCCACAATACATCAATAAACAAAACATCAAATAAAACAGTCAATACAATACAATTCATATAAAACATAACAAAAATAAGCAATAAACAATCAACAGTGACATACAACATGTTAAAAAACCAATGGCCGAGCCAAATGTAATAGATTAAAATTAAAATAATGCTGACATGACGTGCCTTACAGGATGTTGGACTGGATGGCCCTTGTGATCTCTTCCAGCTCTGTGGACTCCACCAATAGCAGGCCTATTGAATAATTATTTGTCATCTGGCAAATCAATTCAGTGGGCTTACTCTAGTTGGGATTTGCAACTGTATTTAGATGAGGAGTAGGAATGGTATTGTTGCAAATACCTTGTTTTAGGCCACTGATTGTACCTCACATATCTACAGATATAGGTCAGCCTACTGATGACACACAACTCTACTACTAGGTTCCATCCCATCCCAAGGAAGCTCCCCGGATTCTGAACCAGTGATGGACTGGATGAGGGCCAACAAACTGAGGCTTAATTCAGACAAGATAGAGATCCTCCTGGTCAGTCGTGAGGCCAATCGGCAACCTGTGTTTGACGGGGTTACACTCCCCCGAGGACACAGGTCTGCAATCTGGTGGTTCGCCTGGATTCATCACTGACACTTGAAGGTCAGGGGCTGAAGGTGGCTGGGAGGGCCTTCGCACAGTTAAAACTGGTGCACCAGTTGCAGCCATACCTTGAAAAGCCTGACTTGGCCATGGTGGTCCATGTCTTAGTTACATCCAAATGGACTACTGTAATGCACTCTATGTGGAGCTGCCTTTGAAAATGGCTCGGAAACTGCAGTTAGTGCAAAAGTCGGCAGCCAGATTACCAGCTGGGGCTAGCTATAGGGAGCATACTATGCCCCATTAAAGCGGTTCCACTGGCTGCCAACAAGTTTCCGGACTCAATTCAAGGTCCAGGTTATCACCTATAAAGCCCTATATGCTTCGGGTCCATCTTTGCGACCACATCTCTTTCTTTGAACTGGAATGGGCTTTGAAATCTGCTGGGGAGGCTCTACTATCTTTCCCACCACCATCCCAACTACTGTTGCTGGGCTTCTTGGTGGTGGCTCTCTAGCTCTGGAATGCCCTTCTTAGAGAGATTGGGCAAGCCCCCGCTCTACAAACCTTCTGGTCTAGCCTTAAAATGTGGCTTTTTAAACAGGCCTTTGACCTTGAGTAGTCTGCAATGGTTTCATGTGAGGACTGCTTGTTCACTCCAGCCCTTTAGCTCATCAACTGAAGGCAGGCACTACTGCGTTTTATTATTTTTTTTATTATGTGATGTTATGTGCGTTCAATGTATTTGCGGTTGTAATTTTATGTTGTTATTGTTTTTATGCTTATGTATTGTTTATTTTATGTGTGACACTCTGGAGTGCTTTTGTGAGCCACCCCGAGTCCCTTCGGGGAGATGGTGGCGGGGTATAAATAAAGTTTAATATTATATTATTATTAAATATGTAAGATGAATACACGTAATAGGGTTGCACAGAAAATGAAGTTAGAGCTAAATTCCTTCTCCTCAGCAAAAGGGACCCTATGTCTTCTGTCTCAACAGAGCTTTCAGCATACTGAATGGAATTTTAGTGTCAGACCCACTTGAAGTGTAAATCCACAAAAATGAAGGGAACTCCTTAGGTGTAAAACACACCGTTTAAATGAATTTCAATGAGACTATTCTAGCTGGAACTAACAATGAACTAAACTAATTCTCCAGGAAACAAAATGTTAAATCTTTGAATCAGAACACAAAGCAAAAGGAGTACTAGGTTAAAGGTAAGTAAAGGTTGTCCCCTGACATTAAGTCCAGTCATGTCTGACTCTGGGTGTGGTGCTCATCTCCATTTCTAAGCTGAAGAGCCAGCGTTGTCCATAGACACCTCCAAGGTCATGACTGCATGGAGCGCCGTTACCTTCCCACCAGAGCAATACCTATTAATCTACTCCCATTTGCATGTTTTTGAACTGCTAGGTTGGCAGAAGCTAGGGCTGACAGTAGAAGCTCACGCCACTCCCCAGAATCGAACATGCGACCTTTCGGTCAACAAGCTCAGCAGCTCAGTGCTTTAACCCACTGCGCCACCGGGGGCTCCACAAAAGGAGTAGTAATTTGGATGTAATGCTAAATACAGCCACTTACCTGCAGTTTCAATGCACGGGTAGAGAGGTGGAGGCTTCAGCCAGTTTCCACTGGCATCCTTCATGTGGGATCGGTCGGAAGCAAACATCTTCAGATACACATCAGCTCGAATCAATCTGACTTTTCTAAATAAGCCAAACACTTAAGTGACGGGAGTTGCATAGTCCTTGGCAGAAACATCAGGAAGCAGTGGGATGACTCTGCTCCTAGTATTTTCAACTACATCTGAACCAAATATTAAATTGTCATTTAGCATCAGACTCTTCATTGGTCATTCACAATGAATCCACATTAAATATGGGCATTCCATCAATAACATTGCTGCAAATGCCTAAAAATAGCACAGAAACTAACAACACAGCCCTGTGGAGATCTACTTAAAAGTAAGTCCTGCTTTGATGGGGATTACTCTCAGATACTTAGGAGTAATACAACTAGGAATATGTTCAAAGGAACACAACTGATCTTATTTATGATATCTGTAGGATTGCATCAAAATTCAATATTTTTGAAGTAACCATAATCAAATGAGAAATTGGAGTCTGGTTATAGTGCAACACACAAACCACTATGCCACACTGGCCCTCATTTAGGACACATACACCCCCTCGGTGCGTTTTTGTCTTCTAGGAGAATTGCATGTTTTAGTTATGCAACTGTGTTGTTGTTATTATATCATTATCCATGTATACAATCCCATCAGTATAAGATTTTAATCTTTTAAAAACTGGAGACGGAGGTTTCATCATTGCCAGAGCCTTTGGTGAAATCTGAGATTTCTTTAACTGAATTGAATGTGGGTAATTCACAACCCTTGAGCCAGACCCAACACTGTTGGAAATACCAACCTTCCAATATTTCACTATTAGTTTGTTAATGTATATATCTGCTAACCTGTACTGTATATGTATATATTGATTTGCCAGTTTGGCTGACCTCTTCAGTGTGGGAGGGGTTACAGACATGTGATTGTACTGAGCATGCTCAGACTCAAGACTCCATTTTGTTATCAGTATGTTTTTGGACTTCAATGCTAGCAGTTCACTTTAGACCTTAGTGGAGATGGATTCAGTATGCTTTTGAACTTTAATGAAAGCAGATGTCATTTGGACTTATGCAGGAATGGTTTACTATATGTTTGCTTTGAGAAGCAGAGAGTACAGTTATACAGTTTGGACTTTCATAAGATGTATACTTAATCACTTTGGAGTATGGACTATTGATTAAGAATGATGCCCTGTGTTCTCAACACAGAGAAACTACATTCTATCGATTTACTAAGAAATGTGCCTGTATGGTGAATTAATACAAGATGTTTGTAAGTAAACAATATGCATTACTTTAAAAAGAAGACTTTGTTTTTTGTCTCTGAGTACATATTTTAAACTAAGAGGTTTCAAGGGAGAGTTTATGTTTTGGGCAACTGCAATTTCAACTTCAACTGCAAAGAAACATTTTCAATACTCTGCTAGGCAAGTATATGTTTTTTGTGCAGTATATCTTTGTCCCTGGCAATTCAAAGACATGGTTTATCAGTTTAACAGCTGAGTTACCTATGTGCCATTACATAAATGCTTGTGAACATCACTTTTTCAAAGGTTGACTTCTAACAAGGTAATGCCTTTCCTTGGTTTTCAAAAGGTGGTCTCCAGATGTTCATGGAGATTCACATTTGCCAAAAAGATATATCAATTTTCTGAATGACATTTTTTTCAATAAACACAAAGACAAAACTACGCTATAGCAAAAGCTTTGCCATCACAATTTTTGTGATTTCCACCCTCACCTTCGATATCCAGGATTAATAATGCTGTCTGATTTGAACGCCTCTTCAATGTAGGTGTCAAAGGGACAGGGGAAAGGAAGCACAGTGTCAAGATCATAAATAAAGTTCTGGTCTCCACTCGACACATGAAGCAAAATCACATGGTAATCCTGTAAAAGGGGAGAGATTGTGCAGTTTTTCAGTATTAGGATTGGTAATGATAATAACAATCACCAATGTCTTAGCCATGTGTTTTTAATTTGTATTCATATTTTGATATTTGCAAAGGTAGCATGCTGGGCTTGGTTTTAAATGTTGCAATGGTTGACTCCCATCCAAATGATTTTAAAATGACTAGTGTACAATTTTCTTTACATCTGGCTGGATATAACGAAGCAGTGTTTCTAGAAGAACTTTTACACACTCTGGAGAATAAAACTAAATATATATAGTGCAGGCTGAGTTTTGTTCTTTACAGCAAAGATGAGGAATTGCTCACCCTTCAGAAATTTAGGACTGCAGCCCCCATGATCACTTTATCATTGGCTATTCTGTGTACGGCTTCTGGAGGTGAAGCCTAAAGCAACCAGAACACCAAATACTCCTGTCTTGTTATTATAAAGATTAGAAATTGTAAATGAGTGAAAAATAGGTGGAACAAGGATTACAGAGTTGCTGGGAGTACCGCTTCAAGTCCCCCTAGGGGTGAGAAAAGCGGTATAGAAATACAGTAAATAAAATAATTAATAAATAAGACTTGCAATACTGTCTCTACAAATGGTCTGTAGCCTGCACGCTACACAATTCCCATCCAGCTTTAGGCAATCGTTATATTAGCAAGGGATGATCACAAATAAAAGTAACAGGAATAATGAAAGGGATAATATTAAATATAGCAAAGGAAAATGGGAGTTTCCTCACCCAAACGACAGGTTCTCCTCCACACCCGGCCTGCTGCTTCCAAAGTGGCACCTATGTGTTACAAGGAATAAGTGAGTGCATTTAAAATAAACCTGCAAGTAAGTGCTTGAATGACTATAAACTAGGTTTACCCAAAGGTAAAGGTAAAGGATTCCCCTTGACATTAAGTCAAGTTATGTCCGACTCTGGGGGGTGTGCTCATCTCCATTTCTAAGCCAAAGAACAGCTATTGTCCGTAGATGCCTCCAAGGTCATGTGCCATCACCTTCCCATGTGAGCAGTATCCATTGATCTACTCACATTTGCATGTTTTCAAACTGCTAGTTTGGCAGAAGCTGGGGCTAACCGCGGGAGCTCACCCCGCTTCCTGGATTTGAACCCCCGACCTTTTAGTCAGCAAGTAACCTGCTGTGCCACCGGGGGCTCCAGTTTACCCATACACTCCTACAAACACATGCAAAGTTAAACCTTTTCAAAGGAAATTATGTAACAAGGCTCCAAGGAGCATAGGAATACCTAATGCACAAATAAACCTGACCACAGTATTTAAGCAAGCATAATTAATTATGTTTATAGATTCACAGGTATGACTTTTGTTTCTTCATTCTCACTTTCCTCCAAGGATCTCAAGGCATTTTACTGATTTTATGCTTATAAAAATCCCATGAGGCAGGATAATGAGAAATAGTTAATGATCTTTGAGTATCATGGCTCAATGTGCACTTAAACCTGGATCTCCCATATCCCTGGCCACCACTCCAACCACACTATATATACCGTTTCTCCACATGTTGCCAATTTATGTATATGTAAGAGCCCTACTTCTTCAACGAGAGCCTGTTATGCAAGACATTTAACTCATAAAATTTCCTCTAGCACTGAGATAAAGGAATGGAAAAGGTTTCTGGGCATTACAGAGGCTTGCAATGTTACATCCAGTTATCTGGAATAAGTCACAGTGAGACTTACAACTAAGGAATAATGGCCGTGATGACGGAGAAATCAAAAAGTAACATTTCCGGGCTTAGGGTAAAAACTCTGTACTACTTAACAAACTAGGATCCAGCTTTTGTTTTTGATATTGCAAACTTCACATTGCTTTTTGGATTCAGTTCTGTACCACAACTCACCATCCTTCTATCATTAGAAATGAAAACAGCATAAAATTCTTCTAAAGGGTACTGATTCTGCCTCTGGATGTATTCACAAAGTTTCCACACATTTTCTTCACTGTAAAACAAAACAGAAACATCACATTCATTTCTTCTTCTTCTGGTAATACAATTTTAATACCCAGTATGTTTACTTATATCAATTTCAAAGAGTCCATTTAAGGATTCTTGCTCATATTCATTTCCATTTCTAAAAGTTTGGCCAAATCTTTTTTTAAAAGCTCTGTGAGCATGTACATGCACATGCTAGAACCAGAGTTGATTTTTGCTAAGATTTATACTTATCACATACACCACTGTATGAAACTTGGATATACAGAAGGCCAAGAACCAGCTGTCTCTTCTTACCCCAACCTATGCATTGGCTGAATTAAATACAAGGACACTGCCAGCATAGTGTAGTAATTTGAATATTGGACGAGAACACTGGGAGAGCAGGTTTGACCTGGAAACCCACTGACCACTAGCAAGCTTGATACGTTTTAATCATTTGAAAGACTATTTTAATTGATATGTATATTTTTTACTATTTTAAAATATTTTTACTATTTTTACTATTTTAAAATATTGTGTTTTACTGGTTTTGTTATTGTCTGAATCTGGCATTGAATTATTGCCATAGTTTGTAAGCTGCCCTTAGCCCCCCTTCAGGAGTGAGATGGGTGGGTATAAGTACAGTAAATAAATAAGCTGTATCGTCTCAGTCTCAGGGGAAGGCAAAGGCAAGTTATCATTAGCACTTAATTAATTGGCATATCCTATAGTAGTATTTAGATCATGTAATGAATGCCTCTCATGCCACTTCAGAAATTCTCATCACTGAATCATAGAATCATAAAGTTGGAAGAGACCTAATGGGCCATCCAGTCCAACCCCCTGCCAAGAAGCAGGAAAATTGCATTCAAAGCACCCCAACAGATGGCCATCCAGCCTCTGTTTAAAAGCTTCCAAAAAAAGGAGCCTCCACCACACTCTGTCGCAGAGAGTTCCACTGCTGAACAGCTCTCACAGTCAGGAAGTTCTTCCTCATGTTCAGATGGAATCTCTTTTCTTGTAGTTTGAAGCCATTGTTCTATCCTAGTCTCCAGGGCAGCAGAAAACAAGCTTGCTCCCTCCTCCCTATGACTTCCTCTCACATATTTATACATGGCTATCATGTCTCCTCTCAGCCTTCTCTTCTTCAGGCTAAACATGCCCAGCTCTTTAAGCCACTCCTCATAGGGCTTGTTCTCCAGACCCTTGATCATTTTAGTTGCCCTCCTCTGGACACATTCCAGCTTGTCAATATCTCTCTTCAATTGTGGTGCCCAGAATTGGACACAATATTCCAGGTGTGGTCTAACCAAGGCAGAATAGAGGGGTAGCATGACTTCCCTGGATCTAGACACTACTCCTATTGATGCAGGCCAAAATCCCATTGGCTTTTTTAGCCACTGCATGACATTGTTGGCTCATGTTTAACTTGCTGTCCACGATCTTTTTCACACGTACTGCTCTCGAGCCAGGTGTCCCCCATTCTGTATCTTTGCATTTCATTTTTTTCTGCCTAAGTGGAGTATCTTGCATTTGTCACTGTTGAACTTCATTTTTAGTTTTGAACCATCTCTCTAATCTCGTTTTGAATTCTGCTCCTGTCTTCTCGATCCTTTCCCCCCCCTTTCCTTCCTTCCCTTCCTTCACCTTTCTTCCCTTCTTTCATCCCCCCTCCCTTTCTTTTTTTTATCCTCCCCCCCCCCCCCTCCTTTTTTTTCTCCCTTCCCCCTCCCCCTCCCTTCTCCTTCCCTCCCCCTCTTTTTTCTTTTTTCTTTTCTTTT